CCGACCTAAGGAATGAAGAATATGACCCACCAGGCTTGGTGGAGGACGACGACGATTCAGATAGTTTGAGACTGGATGTTTACCTAGAACTATAAATCTCTAGTTTAAAAGTAATTGTAATGATATTCTGTGTATTAAAAGTGTGGATAATTTAGTCAAAGGGTGGATTGATATAGGAATCAGGTTAAAAGTAATGACTAAATGTTCCACCCTTAAATATAGTTGTGAAATGTTCTTGTTTTAAGTATGATTAGTACTTTCTTAGTAGTGACTAATTATTACACTCTGAAACTGTGTGAGATGTGTTAGAATCTACTACCTGGTAATGTGTGAGTGTAGGACCAGTAAAGATTATGACATTGTGCTACTATTTAGCAATGTGAGTAAGAGTTAGGCCAGACAACAAAGGACAAGGAGAACAGTCTACAGGCAACTGAGAAACCAAGATAACTGAGGAATTTAGGGAGGAGAGAAACTGTGTGTGTGTGTGTGTGTGTGTGTGTGTGTGTGTGTGTGTGTGTGTGTGTGAGAACTGATGGTCAGGAGAGCAATTATAAAGTGGAAAACTACAGCCTGCATACAGAGGGGAGGGATTTTTTCTCTGACGTGTGCATATAACAATATTGTACGACCATTTTGTTTTAGAACGTTCTCATGAATAAACCCTGATGATTGTATGCTGGGCTGCTTGGTCTGATTATTAGAGATTTACAACCTCTGGGATACAGACTGAGTAATAAGTTCATTTTTGAAACATTGGGATAGAAATTCTCGTAACACCGAGCAGTTGCCATACCAGGTGGTGATGCAACCAGTTAGGATGCTGTCGATGGTGCAGCTGTATAACTTTTTGAGGATCTGAGGACCCATGCCAAATGTTTTCAGTCTCCTGAGGGGGAATAGGCTTTGTCGTGCCCTCTTCACGACTGTCTTGGTGTGTTTGGACCATGATAGTTCATTGGTGATGTGGACACCAAAGAACTTGAAGCTCTCAACCTGTTCCACTACAGCCCCGTTGATGAGAATGGGGGCGTGCTCAGTCCTCTTTATTTTCCTGTAGTCCACAATCATCTCCTTTGTCTTGATCACGTTGAGGGAGAGTTTGTTATCCTGGCACCACACACTGTAGTCAATGAATAGCATTCTCACGTAGGTGTTCCTCTTGTCCAGGTGGGAAAGAGCAGTGTGGAGTGTAATAGAGATTGCATCATCTGTGGATCTGTTGGGGCGGTATGCAAATTGGAGTGGGTCTAGGGTTTCTGGGATAATGGTGTTGATGTGAGCCATGACTAGCCTTTCAAAGCACTTCATGGCTACAGACGTGAGTGCTACGGGTCGGTAGTCATTTAGGCAGGTTATCTTAGTGTCCTTGGGCACAGGGACTATGGTGGTCTGCTTGAAACATGTTGGTATTACAGACTCAGTCAGGGACATGTTGAAAATGTCAGTGAAGACACTTGCCAGTTAGTCAGCACATGCTCGGAGTTCACGTCCTGGTAATCCGTCTGGCCCTGCGGCCTTGTGAATGTTGACCTGCTTAAAAGTCTTACATCGGCTACGGAGAGTGTGATCACATAGTCATCCGGAACAGCTGGTGCTCTCATGCATGCTTCAGTGTTGCTTGCCTCGAAGCGAGCATAGAAGTGATTTAGCTCGTCTGGTAGGCTTGTGTCACTGGGCAGCTCGCGGCTGTGCTTCCCTTTGTAGTCTGTAATAGTTTTCAAGCCCTGCCACATCCGACGAGCGTCAGAGCCGGTGTAGTACGATTCAATCTTAGTCCTGTATTTTTTTAATTTTATTATTTCACCTTTAAGCCAGTTGAGAACAAGTTCTCATTTACAACTGCGACCTGGCCAAGATAAAGCAAAGCAGTGCGATAAAAACAACAACAACACAGAGTTACATATGGGATAAACACAACTGACTAGAGTATTGACTCTTTGCCTGTTTGATGGTTCGTCGGAGGGCATAGCAGGATTTCTTATAAGCGTCCGGGTTAGAGTCCCGCTCCTTGAAAGTGGCAGCTCTAGCCTTTAGCTCAGTGCGGATGTTGCCTGTAATCCATGGCTTCTGGTTGGGGTATGTACGTACGGTCACTGTGGGGACAACGTCATTGATGCACTTATTGATGAAGCCAGTTACTGATGTGGCGTACTCCTCAATGCTATCTGAAGAATCCCGGAACATATTCCAGTCTGTGCTAGCAAAACAGTCCTGTAGCTTAGCATCTGCGTCATCTGACCACTTTTTTATTAACCGAGTCACTGGTGCTTCCTGCTTTAGTTTTTGCTTATAAGCAGGAATCAGGAGGATAGAGTTATGGTCAGATTTGCCAAATGGAGGGCGAGGGAGAGCTTTGTATGCGTCTCTGTGTGTGGAGTAAAGGTGGTCTAGAGTTTTTTTTCCTCTGGTTGCACATTTAACATGCTGGTAGAAATTAGGTAGAACGGATTTAAGTTTCCTTGCATTAAAGTCCCCAGCCACTAGGAGCGCTGCCTCTGGATGAGCGTTTTCCTGTTTACTTATGGCCATATACAGCTCATTGAGTGCAGTCTTAGTGCCAGCATTGGTTTGTGGTGGTATATAGACAGCTACGAAAAATATAGAAGAAAACTCTCTTGGTAAATAGTGTGGTCTACAGCTTATCATGTGATACTCTACCTCAGGCGAGCAAAACCTTGAGACTTCCTTAGTATTAGATTTTTTGCACCAGCTGTTGTTTACAAATATACACAGACCGCCACCCCTTGTCTTACCGGAGTCAACCGTTCTATCCTGACGATGTAGCGTATATTCCGCCAGCTGTATGTTATCAATGTCGTCGTTCAGCCATGACTCGGTGAAACATAAGATATTACAGTTTATAATGTCCCGTATGGATTGTTCAGCATGTCAACAACCATTTCAACAGTAACATCTGTTACCCCCAAAATCTATTTTGCTGTCTCCACAATAACCTTCAGCCTGGCATTTCTGCTTTCCACAGCCAGTGTAGTATTGATAGCCTTACCAATAAACGCTATGAAGTCAACTTTATTCATTATCAAAGTGTCCTTTGACACCGCATATTCATGAGCACAAGATTTCTGAACAGGCCTTGTAACCATGCCAGGACCATCAGAAGCACCAGCCCGACAGTAGGTCCACTTACTACAGGTACATCCATGGAAGCTCCATCAGTCCGCACTGTAGTTCCACCAATCTGTTTTACGGCCTCTGCATACGATACATCATGACTGATCCTATATCTCTGAGCCTCTCTAGCCTCTCTCTGTTCCTGGCATCCACCAAATGCTGCACTGTGTTCTCCCCCACAATTACAGCACTTAACCTTCACATTGCTTCCACATTCACCGTAATCATGTGCCCCTCCACACTTGGCACATATTTTGTTCCCTTTACACTGAGCAGCTACATGTCCCATTCTTTGGCATTTAAAACACTGCAGTGCATATGGGACAAATTATTTAACATTGAAACTAAGGAATCCTATCTGTACTTTTCCTGGCAAGACTTTCTCAAACCTCAGCATCACTGATAAGCTTTCACTTCTTTGACCCTCTTTCCTACTGATCAACCTTTTGGACTCAATCACTCTGCTTCCCGTCACATTTTCTTTAATATAATCTGTGGACACAGATATTGGGACCCCAATGATGACACCCTTCAATCTAGCATAAGCACTAGGGACATGGCTTTTAATCTCCTTCCCATTAAGCTTTTCCATTTTCAGAATCTTCTCTTGCTGAGCCTGGCTACCACACAATATGAACAATCTACCATTTCCAATGAACAGAGCTAATTTCACTTCACCTACCTCTTTCTCTACGGCATTAGTCAGTCAGATAGGGTGTAAGTGAGGCCCTGTGGTCTCATCAAACACTATCACCACTTTCCACTCCAACACATCACTACTCTTGCTTTCTACGTTGGCCCTCTTTATGCTTTCTTTAATAGACGCTCCACTGCTTTCTGTATCATGATCCCTCTTCTTCCTATGTCTTTCCACTACCGACCGTTCCGGTCCTTGACCCTCATCCTCCCGCTCCATACCATCAGAACTGACACCCATATTGTTCGCATTCCATCACAGCTGTTGCTTCACCAACTTATTCTCCATTTTGTCCGCACTACTCGCCGCCATTTCCGACCTTCCAGAATTATAACTTAACTGCTCCTACAGTCTCCCTGGTCCTGTCTGACCAGGGCTAGGTTTCCCTAGGTTCTCTCCCATTTAGACACAGAGAAAGAGCCAGCTGAGTATTCTTCTTCTTCTTTGGGTTTTATGGCGAACTACACTCAAAAGGTGTATTGTCGCCTCCAACTGGACTGGGGGTAAAACTAAATAAAAAAACATTCTAGCCAATGAGAGGGCAGAGACGTGTGTGAACAACAAGCACAACTCCATTATAAAATTGTTTTTCTCCAAGTTTCCAAAATGCCACGTACGCCCACTTATATCAGTACATTCATAACATAAACATTACGAAACTTCAATTCGATCAAATAAGCCTTACGTAGCAATTAGCAATTTCATTTTATGTTGACCAAATTCGACATTCTCTCATTGACCTCCATACAACAAATCCCCACTTCCACTGGTTAACGCTGTATTTCGCACTGACAGATTTTATATCAGAGTCAAGCCTCTTGCTTCCTCTCTGGTTATATCCAAGATGAGTCTATCTCTATACTTCTTAACTAGTGGGCCGGTCCGGCCAGGAGAACTCAAAACGCAATATACCAATAACGTCTGTGGGGAGGAAATTCTTTGTAACGTGTTCACTTCACAAACCCGTCAGATTTTCCTGGACATTTGATGATGTAGAACAGTGAAACACATTTTCTTTAACAATATTTATATATTTTTTTACCAAAACTGTAGAAGTGAAAAAACAACAGCCTCAAGAGTTCTAAGAAATGTTCAAAGCCAAAACATTATGGTCAACATGACAAAACCGATAACATATATTTTATTTTAAGTGGCTCCTGGTTTTGGTATGGTTCTCTCTGAGGTGGTGATGATGATGTATCCAGCTGTTCAACAGCAGTGTCCACATGTATTTCTCCTGGAGGCTTCTGCCAGTACCCCTCCCCTTCCTCCCTGTCTTCTCCTCTTCCTCTAGGTCAAAGTCACTCTCATTCTGACGCTCCTCCTCCTCCTCATAGTTCCACTGTCGATTTCCCTGTCGCCTGCTCCTCCACTCGCCTGCTCCTCCGCTCTCCCACCTCCACTCTCTCCCCACTCTCTTGTGGTGTCCAAGCTTCTGCCTCCCCACTCTCCCCTTGGTGGTAGCGTCTGACGTGGTTCTTGAGGCTGACGTTGTGGTTGAAGCTCTTGTCACAGCGCTGGCATTGGAAGGGCCTCTCCCCAGTGTGGACGCGCAGGTGTTCAGCTGGCTGGTCTGGGCAAAGGAACGCTGGCACACCTGGCACCTAGCAGGAGCAGCACGTAATGGAAAACATGTTAACACTTTACTGTCCACTCTCAGCTGGTAATACAAACAAAACAGACATTTCAACAGAGGGAGATGTGTTCAGTATCAAACTAACAGAGAAGGCAGTATAAAGCACCAACCTGAAAAATTTGTTGTCACTGTGGCTCAGCTCGTGCCTCTCAAACTTGCTAAATTGGGGGAATTCCTTGTAGCACGCGTGACAAATGTGTCTCTTGGACTCGTGCTCTCTGAGATGGCGGTTCCGTTTCAAGATGTTGTAAAATCCCTGGGGGCATTCGGAGCACCTATAGTGCAACTTTTTGACCCGGTGGTCGTTCTTCTCATGGGTCCACTTGTCTTCCAGGGCCTTGAATGGCTTGAGGCAGAACTTACAGGAGTAGACATACTCCTGACGGTGGAGCCTCTGGTGATGCTTGAGGCCAGCTTCATCCACGCAGCGCTTCCCACAGACAGAACAGCGGTCAACCTCTGTCAACCACCGCATTCTTATTGGCAGACTAAATAGCCTTGGTTTCTCAAATGACTGCCTCGCCTGGTTCACCAACTACTTCTCAGATAGAGTTCAATGTGTCAAATCGGAGGGCTTGTTGTCTGGACCTATGGCAGTCTCTATGGGGGTGCCACAGGGTTCAATTCTTGGGCCGACTCTTTTCTCTGTGTATATCAATGATGTCGCTCTTGCTGCTGGTGACTCTCAGATCCACCTCTACGCAGACGACACCATTTTGTATACATCTGGCCCTTCATTGGACACTGTGTTAACAAACCTCCAAACGAGCTTCAATGCCATACAACACTCCTTCCGTAGCCTCCAACAGCTCTTAAACACTAGTAAAACTAAATGCATGCTCTTCAATCGAAAGCTGCTGGCACCCGCCCACCCGACTAGAATCACTACTCTCGACGGGTCTGACCTAGAGTATGTGGACAACTACAAATACCTAGATGTCTGGTTAGACTGTAAACTCTCCTTCCAGACTCACATTAAGCATCTCCAATCCAAAGTTAAATCTAGAATCAACTTCCTATTTCGCAAACAAAGCCTCCTTCACTCATGCTGCCAAACATGCCCTCGTAAAACTGACTATCCTACCGATCCTTGACTTCGGCGATGTCATTTACAAAATAGCCTCCAACACTCTACTCAGCAAATTGGATGTAGTCTATCACAGTGCCATCCGTTTTGTCACCAAAGCCCCATATACTACCCACCACTGTGACCTGTACGCTCTTGTTGGCTGGCCCTCACTGCATATTCGTCGCCAAACTCACTGGCTCCAGGCCATCTATAAATCACTGCTAGGCAAATCCCCGCCTTATTTTAGCTCATTGGTCACCATAGCAACACCCACCCGTAGAATGCGCTCCAGCAGGTATATCTCATCGACAGGGCTGTAGTCGAACAGGTTGAGAGCTTCAAGTTCCTTGGTGTCCACATCACCAACAAACTATCATGGTCCAAACACACCAAGATAGTCGTGAAGAGGGCACGACAAAGCCTATTCCCCCTCAGGAGACTGAAAAGATTTAGCATGGTTCCTCAGATCCTCAAAATATTCTACAGCTGCACCATCGAGAGCATCCTGACTGGTTGCATCACTGCCTGGTATGGCAACTGTTTGGCCTCCGACCGCAAGGCACTACAGAGGGTAGTGTGTACGGCCCAGTACATCACTGGGGCCAAGCTTCCTGCCATCCAGGACCTCTATACCAGGCAGTGTCAGAGGAAGGCCCTCAAAATTGTCAAAGACTCCAGCCACCCTAGTCATAGACTGTTCTCTCTGCTACCGCACGGCAAGCGGTACCGGAGTGCCAAGTCTAGGTCCAAAAGACTTCTCAACAGCTTCTACCCCCAAGCCATAAGACTCCTGATCAGCTAATCATGACTACCCGGACTATTTGCACTGCCCCCCCACCCCATCTTTTTACGCTGCTGCTACTCTGTTAATTATTTATGCATAGTCACTTTAACTCTACCCACATGTACATATTACTTCAACTACCTCAACTAGCCGGTGCCCCCGCACATTGACTCTGCACCGGTACCCCCCTGTATATATAGCCTCCCTACTGTTATTTTATTTTACTTCTGCTCTTTTTTTCACAACACTTTTTTGTTATTGTTTTATTTTACTTTTTTATTAAAAATAAATGCACTGTTGGTTAAGGGCTGTAAGTAAGCATTTCACTGTAATGTCTGCACCTGTTGGCGCATGTGGCCAATAAAATTTGATTTGATTTGATTTGATCTCACTGGTCATCCCCAAAGCCAACACCTCCTTTGGCCGCCATTCCTTCCAGTTCTCTGCTGCCAATGACTGGAACGAACTGCAAAAATCTCTGAAGCTGGAGACTCTTATCTCCCTCACTAACTTTAAACATCAGTTGTCAGAGCACCTTACCGATCACTGCCCCTGTACACAGCCCATCTGAAATTAGCCCACCCAACTACCTAATCCCCATATTGTTATTTATTTTTCTCATTTGCACCCCAGTATCTCTATTTGCACATCATCTCTTGCACATCTATCATTCCTGTGTTAATACTAATTGTAATTATTTTGCACTATGGCCTATTTATTATGGAGGACTAAAAGTGCCACAATTAAATAAATAAATACACCATTAAATAATTACTTAAATGTGTCATTAATTAATTCAAATTAGAATTAAATACATAAATGTGTTATTAAATGTGTCATTAATTAATTCAAATACCGATTCATTTTATGTAAAATACATATATAATAATTTCACTATTTACATTTACATTTCATGGTCCTGCGTTGGAGTGCTTCCTGAATTACTTAAAACTGTCAAACTGACCCATCAAAAGTTGGTAGGCGGAACCTAACGCCTGATTGGTTACCCTCTGCATCAAGCCAAGACAAATCAATTCCGGATAATGTCAGCAGGTCCTGCTTCTACATCCTCTGCTAAGTTTAAAATGTCTCTAACCAACTCCCTGGAAAGTTCACGGAGATCCTCCATTGTCTCTATCCAGGTTGGCCTACTCTACTTCAGACCAAAGCAATGGATCAGACTAGATTCGCGTTAGCCCCGCCCACTGACTTTGATGGGTCAGTTTGACAGTTTTAAGTAATTCATGAATCACTGCAATGCAGGATCATGAAATGTAAATGTAAATAGTGAAATAATTATATATGTATTTTACATAAAATGAATCGGTATTTGAATTAATTAATGATACATTTAATTACACATTTATGTATTTAATTCTAATTTGAATTAATTAATGACACATTTAAGTAATTATTTAATGGTGTATTTATTTATTTAATTGTGGCACTTTTAGTCCTCCATAATTTATTGCCTTACCTCCATAACTTGCTACATTTGCACACACTGTATATATATTTTCTGTTGTATTTTTGACTTTATGTTTTGTTTACCCCATATAAAACTCTGTGTTGTTTTTAATCGCACTGCTTTGCTTTATCTTGGCCAGGTCGCAGTTGTAAATGAGAACTTGTTCTCAACTGGCTTACCTGGTTAAATAAAGGTGAAATAAAATAAAATAAAAACCTATTCTAGTCACACCCTGGACACGATTTCATCATCATATTAGTATTTGCTGATGATCTCCTTAGCAAGTGCGATGTAAGCTGTCATGGCATCCTCCTTGGACATACCTATAAAGTAAGAACGCAAATACAACATTAGAGCAACATCATCTCACATACACACACACACTCACTCACTCACACACACACTCTCACACACAAACACACACATTCTCTCACTCACTCACTCACTCACACTCTCACACTCTCACTCACTCACTCACACACACACTCACACTCTCCTCCCCCCCCCCCCCCCATTTCTGTTCCACATGCAGTTTTAATTAAACAAATATACTTTTTGAAGTATTTATTAGGCATTTGTCTTTTTATTCACCCAGGACCCAGATGACAGGCCCAATGCATAAACCTCTTATTATTTTGGTTGTACATTCATTCTATCTGACTACAGTGTAACCAACCAGAAGAAAGTTGACACTGTAAGATCATCTGGTTGGTTTTAACTTTCAATTTTCTTCTGGTTGGTTCTGGGCCAATTTACACTGTAGTCAGATCAAATGAATGTACAACCAAAATAAAAAAAGGGTGTACAGTGCATTCGGAAAGTATTCAGACACCTTCACTTCTTCCACATTTTGTTAAGTTACAGCCTTATTCTAAAATGGATTAAATAAATGTTTTCCTCATCAATCTACACACAATACCCCATAATGACAAAGTGAAAACAGGTTTGTAGACATTTTAGCAAATGTATACAAGTATTCAGACCCTTTACTCAGTACTTTTTTGAAGCACCTTTGGCAGCAATTACAGCCTCAAGTCTTCTTGGGTATGACACTACAAGCTTGACGCACCTGTATATGCATTGGACCTGTGACTCTAGGTTTTTAATACAATCAGTTGGTTAGATTTATTGCCCCCGTTACTGAAATGGTTGTTCCTGTTCAAATGGTTTAGGTAGTCTTTTTTTATCAAGTTTCCTAACCCTGACAGTCATTCTGAATGTAGGTTTCGAGTGAATAACAATTCCTACTGTTGGATATCCTAACTCTTGCTGGATTACAATAAGAACTACACATCACTTTGCAAGCCACAATAATGTGACTTGCAGGCCTGATGTGGCCGGTAAACCAGGAGTTTCCTAACACCACTCTGTTAGGGTAAAACTAGGCCATCAAAGTAAGGCCTTATGATATATGTAATGTATTGTCAAGTTAAATTTTAATGATAACATTCACCTAGGTACTTATTTGGTGAAAGCCACAGGCCTTTAAAAGGAAAGAATACAACAAACATGTATCTGTCACTAACAAATAGAGTCAAGGGTGGTAACTCTCTACAATTCACTCGAAAAGAAAAGGCACCATGGGAAATATGCTAATTAGGTTTTACACCCAAAACAGTGTAACATGTTGATCAACACTAGTGTTTAACAGAAATAACACTGAGTGTTAATTATCCCATAGTGTTAAATGTGAGTAACACTGGCAAGTGTAATGCAGTGTTCATTTTTTACACTTTCGGTGTGTTACATTTAAGAGTTACAACAAAAAAAAACTGTCGAGTGATATGTACTCTGAGATAGTGTTAAGATGAACTCTTTAAGTGTTGATTTAACACTGCAAAATGTGCTGTGTACATAGTGGGAGCAGCACTGCAACAACATTATTACTTAATATAATAAGTAGTACATGCAATGTTTAATTCTAATAGGCTACAGTCGCCTAGCTATTATTGGTCTTGGAAGCATGACAGCGATGCATACTTAATCTGCACCCGCATTTTGATGACGGCAGCTGATATCCAATACACCTCAGCATCCTTGCGCACAATTCCGAGATGGCTAGCCAATCAAGCTCTACATTTCTTACGCATTTAAAACAATACACAGGCATGACTCAATAAATAGAGAACATAACGGTAAACGTAGTCTGTATGTACAAGCCTACCTACCACCAGCTACCACATCAGTCAACCACATCTCTTATAAAAACATAGGCCTAAACCCGTTATCTAGATCGACGCATCACTTAGATAGAAGACGTGTACGCCAAGGGTGCAGGGAAAACATAGCCTTCCTGTAGAGACATCACGCCAAGTTCAACTCTGTAGGCTACTGTAGTATTAGACCAAAGTGTCCTCTCGGCTGTGTGAATAGCTCTGACTGCAGTCTGCAGCTGTAACAGACTGGGAGCTTACAGTAAATATCGGTCAAGTCCTCGCGAGTCGGGACCGCAGTGGGGTGGATAGAAACAGCTGATTGGCTGACCTAACATACTGAGACGCGGTGTGTAAAGGACGTTAAAATAAAATAGGACTTAAAAAGGACACTCACATCAATGCAAGCCCATATTCGATTTTTCGCGTTTCATGTCCAAATCATACTGTATTAAATTGATTGTGTAGCTCAATGATATATAGGGACTATTCACTTGCATTGAATTTGTGGCATGTTTAGTATTTGGAGAGTGTTAGGTAAACATTATTGTGTGTGTAATTTGGGTGTAGAAACAGTGATTGATGGAAGATGAGCTATGGTAAGCTACCATCCTACTGGAGCTCAGCTGGACTCCACTCAGTTTTAATTCAGCAGTCTGTGGTTCATGGGCGGCGCACAATTGGCCCAGCGTCGTCCAGGGTAGGGGAGGGAATGGCCGGCAGGGATGTAGCTCAGTTGATAGAGCATGGCGTTTGCAACGCCAGGGTTGTGGGTTCGATTCCCACGGGGGGCCAGTATAAAAAAATATGTATTCACTAACTGTAAGTCGCTCTGGATAAGAGCGTCTGCTAAATGACTAAAATGTAAATGTAAATGTTCTAATTCAGCAGTCTGTGGTTCTGATTCAGAGATCTGTGCATCTGAGGGTCTGATTCAGGTGACTGAAGGCTTGGTAGCATCCAGTGGGTCATATGGTTTGTAGCTAGTGTTATTAAGTGGCTTTGGTTTTTATTAGAATATTGTCTGGTGGCCTTTTGCACGCGCCCAAAAAGATGAGCTCAATGCGCGTTTTAAGGGGCGTGGCTCTGTTGAAACGTCATCAGCCACGGTCATACAATATGGCTGCGCCCATGGACACAGCGGAGTACCGGTGTGCACTGACCTACAACTGCTTAAAAAAATATAATTGAGGTAAAAAAGTGACGGCAGTTTGTCGATATGTTTAATTTAGGTTTGTTTGCTAACTTCTTAAAACTACTCGCTATATCTCTGGACATCCTGGGAAATGTGTCTGTCGCTGAGTAACTAGTTAGCTAACTAGCTAGCTAAGTGGGCAAGTGATGTGTAGTAGTGATTGAGGGGGAAACATTGTTACAGGGCAAACTTACTACCTATACTTACAGGTTGGAGGACCACAGTACAGAGCCCTTATTTTACTTTGATCAGACAGTGTAATCGGATTCTAGATCTGCACCTAACCCCAACACTTTCTCATCTACCCTCATAGTCAAAGGCTGTCGTGTTAGTTTTTAAGTGTTAGTTTTTATGGCACAGGTTGTACTGTGCTTACAGGGTTTAAGCCCCGCCCCAGCATCATCCCTCAATCACTACTGTGCATTAACATTCAAGGAGTCAACCCCACAGAACTAGAACAATAGAATAGATTATATTTCTATGCTACCCTGCAGGTAAATTTGATAACATATGAGGGTTGAGTCAGCAGCTCATGTGAATTCCTCCTGTCTTCACTCCAGATAAAGATGGCCACTCCAGGCAAAGTGTCGAAAAAGGAGCGGAAGAAGCAGATCCCAGCTAAGACGTCCCTGAACTCCCCCTACAGCCTGCAATGGAGTCCGCTGCAGAGAGATGACGTACACTTCATCCTGGACACTCTGAAGAGCAAACTGTCAGCAACTGGCCTGGAAAAGAAAGAGGTGAAAGGGTTTCGACAGTGGGGGGAAAAGAGAAATAAGAAACTGCCTACAGGACATGACTCGGTAGCCGAGCTCCCACAGATACCCCTCGACACTGTAACACCGGAATGTCCTGTTAAACCCACAGAGCAAGGCTGGACTGACGTAGCCGCTAGGAGGCAGCTGGCCATCGGCATCAATGAGGTCACCAAGGCTCTGGAGAGGAACCAGCTCCGGCTGGTGCTCGTGTGCAAGTCGGTCAAACCGCCGCACATGACGAGCCACCTGATAGCGCTGTGCCGGACGCGAGGCGTGGCGGCATGCCAGGTGCCGTGTCTCAGTGAGAGTGTGGCGGGACTGCTGGGGCTGAAGTGCATCCTGGCACTGGGATTCAGACAAGGGGAAGGGAATGAGGATGGAACATTCTCCGACACTGTGGAAGCCATCCTACCCAGAGTGCCTGCTCTGCAGGTTGCCTGGATACAAAGCCCTCCCAGTGAGACAGGTGCAACAGTTGAGGGGCAGGTAGAAGGGGAAACAGCTGAAGAGGGGCAAATGGTGGTGGAAAAGGGAGAGGAGACAAGGGGCCAAAAACGGAAAATTGAAGACATTTCTCCAGACATGACAGAATCTCCATCCTGCGTACTTCAGCCTCTTAAAGTGAAAAAGATAATTCCCAATCCCGCTAAAATACGGAAACCGAAAACTAAGAAAAAGTAGAAGCAATTTGAACTGAATCAAATGTTTTGGTTTCTCTCATTTTATGTACAAAAGATGACATGAAATGGTAGTGTAGGCAGCCCTAGATGCTGATTGGAGGTAGAGGCCTCTGCTTCCTGTCTAGAAGAAACACTCCCAAAATCCCATGCAGGACTTAAATGATTAAATAAAGAAGACAGCACACTCAGATGTATATCTTTTCTTCTTGTCTGGATGAGTTTATTCGATCAAATGTCCATGCTGGTATAGCTTACGTGTGTATTTGAAACATATTCAGTATTTGGATGAGAGGTCCTGTCTAAACGGTGCTGGTTCTAATTCCTCAGTTCTTTTACAGCCTGCCAAGGAGTTCAATAAAAATATTGTTTTTCAGTTAGAGAAAGCTGTGTGTCATTTCAAAACTACATGTATAAAAACAAACGTCTCTTAAATAAGGCAAGTACTTTGGGTGCTCTCACAATGGGTAGCGGCCAGTCCCAGCCATCCTAGGGCTTCTGTATTGTATCAAAAACTGTCTCATGCTCAAATTCATACAAGCTGAAGTATACATCTACGACAGATCCAACACTCAAGGCGCCCCTGGGACTAATAAACACATGGCTGAATCAGATTTGCGTTTTTGGGGATCCGTTCTATTTCGGCCATCTTTATTTGGATGCCCAGTGTTTAGTGCCATTAACATAGGTGGTCTTCCCTTGCTCAGATGTTGTGTGCCACGTCATCGGCTGTGCCGTCGGTCACCAGATTGCTATAATGTGGTTAGCTGATACGTAAAATACCTATCCAGGCGTTGTGAGATCTGGCATGCATCAGCAACGGCTGAGCAGAGGAACACAACCATTACCTTGGTTAGGGCACGGCCCCAGATGCAGACCACATTCACAGAGCCACACCTCAGAAACACTTAAAGCAAGTAACTCCCCACAAGGGCAGCAGTAAGAATGAGAAATATACAGTGTACAAAACATTTGGAACACCTGCTCTTTCCATGACAAACTGACCAGGGGAAAGCTATGATCCCTTATTGATGTAACTTGTAAATCCACTTCAAAATCAGTGTAGGTGAGGAGACAGGTTAAAGAAGGATTTTTAAGCCTTGAGATGTGCCATTCAGTGGGTGAATGGGCAAGACAAAAGATAAGTGCCTTTGAACAGGGTATGGTAGTATGTGCCAGGGGCACCCGGTTTGAGTGTGTCAAGAACTGCAACGCTGCTTAGGTTTTTCACGCTCAACAGTTTCCTGTGTGTATCAGGAATAGTCCCCCACCCAAAGGATTTCCAGCCAACTTGACAACTGTGGGAAGCATTGGAGTCAACATGGGCCAGCAGTGCTGTGGAACGCTTTCGACACCTTGTAGAGTCCATGCCCCGACGAATTGAGGCTGTTCCGAGAGCAAAAGGGGGTGCAACCCAATATTAGGAAGGTGTTCCTAATGTTTTGTACATTGTGTATTTTCCCCATGTAAACAAAAAAAGATTTCCCCATGTACACAACTCAGTTTCTCACTGACAGGGACACTTGTATATCTAACTGTAGTAACCATGATGACATCAGCAAACAGAACAACAGCTGCTTTATCTCTTCACAGGTTTTGTGTCAAGGTTCCTTCATGTGCTGGATCTTATACAAGGAGCTGCCTGATACTCCAACCCAATACCTTTATTTATAGGTGAAGATGCCCGTTTGATTTGAAGGGGTTTTAACAAATACTGACAGACAGGGAGGAATGATTACAAAACACACAACATAAAAGCACAATCCTAAATATCAGAATTGTGTGCGGAAAAAAATGGGGACCTTTTTAAAAGAATATATGCTGTTAGCTGCACAAACACAAAAAAAAAAACAGTTTTAAAATGAGAAAATTCCCATCTGGCATTTTATGTTTCTCAGACACTCACATATATTTGAAAAACCTAAACACACAAAACAAACAGAAATAATCAATATAAAATGCACCTGGGGGTTTTTAAGGAGCCTTTTGCTCAGGTAAGAACTTAAGATTTGTGCTTCAAATACATTCTTCCTCAAAAATCCCTAGAATCCCCTCCCCTCCTAACCGTTCATAGGAACACCAAAGTCAATAACATCTACGCTAGTTGTGAAGAAAATACTTTGGATCTTTCCTCTCCCACCCCCCATATCCCACACTACAGGAATAAATATGTTCTGGCATTAAATGTACAGGTTACTACATTTCTGCTCTCTCCAACAAACACAGTTACCAATGCACCTTTTTAATAAAAAAAGAAAAACATTTTGGATGCAAATCTTCCTTCTCTTCATGTAGTGTGTGTGTGTGTGTGTGTGTGTATGTGTGTAGAGGTGTACTGTACTGTACGAGAGTCTGTCTCAGCAGAGCATGATTTCACATTCAGGATGTTGATGGTTAAAAAGAGTTACCACTTCCGGGTGAGCAGAGAGAATGTTCTGGAGATGCTCACCTCCCGATCACTTTGATTGATTGATTGTTGTCATTCTCTTCTCCTGTGTGTCCAGGTCGAGCGACGACCTTTGACCTCTAACTGAGTGTGTAGCAGTCACAGACAGACTAGTTATTGAAGAACAAGGCCAACCTGAAACAGAGCGACAGAGATAGAATCATAATTAGAATTATTGATTGATTGATTATCCATTATGAAATCCTTTCACATGCTCACAGAACACCCAGGAATTCACCCCACCTTCTTGACACACACACACACACGCCTCACCATGTCGGGGTCCATGGGGGGACATTTCCAGTTAAAGAGGTAATACTGCAGGTTGCCGTCTCCGATGCCAAATTTGAGCTTCTCCAGAAACACCTTGTTCTCCATCAGGTCCAGAGCATTAAACACATCAAAGCCTTTCTGTGTGACACACAAACACACACCATTTAGATGGACGTGATCGTAGTTCTGTTGAACCTTTGTATTTATGTTGGAAAAAGTGTGTGTGTGTGTGTGTGTGTGTGTGTGCGCGCGCAGTACCAGTTTGGCCAGTATGAGAGTGTCATTCATCAGGTCCAGTAGTGGAACGTGTGTGTAAACACTGTAGAAGGAGTAAGCAGCCTTCAGACTTCTGTGCTGTGGATGGTGCATCACTGTGGAGGGCAGGGTGTAGAAACTAGTGAAGTCTGTCAACACACCACCGGCACCCTGATGGGGGTAAACACAGATGTCAGTATCGATACTGAACAAAAATATAAAATGCAACATGCAACAATTTCAACGACTTTACTGTGTTACAGTTCATATAAAAGGAAATCAGTCAATTGAAATAAATTCCTTAGGCCCTAATCTATGGAAATCACATGACTGGGAAGGGGCGCAGCCATTGGCCCACCCATTTGGAAGCCAGGCCCACCCACTTGGGACAGGCCCAGCCAATCAGAATGGGCTTTTACCCACAAAAGGGCTTCATTACAGACAGAAATACTCCTCAGTTTCATCAGCAGTCCGTGTGGCTGGTCTCAGACGATCCCGCAGGTGAAGAAGCCGGATGTGGAGGTCCTGGGCTGGCGTGGTTACACGTGGTCTGTGGTTGTGAGGCCGAATTCTCTAAAACAACGTTGGAGGCGGCTTATGGTAGAGAAATTAACATTAAATTATCTGGCAACAGCTCTGGTGGACATTCCTGCAATCAGCATGCCAATTGCACACTCCCTCAAAACTTGAGACATCTGTGGTATTGTGTTGTGTGACAAAACTGCAAATTTTTGAGTGGCCTTTTATTGTCCCCAGCACAAGGTACACCTGTGTAATGATCATGCTGTTTAATCAGCTTCTTGATATGCTAAACCTGTCAGGTGGATGGATTATCTTGGCATGGAGAAATGCTCTCTAACAGGAATGTAAGCAAATTTGCACACAAAATATGAGAGAAATAAGCTTTTTGTGCTTATGGAACATTACTGGGATCTTTTATTTCAGCTCATGAAAAATGGGACCAACACTTTACATGTTGCGTTTATATTTTTGTTCAGTATATCCACCTAATTATCTAATTGAACAGACAAAAAGACAGACCCCTACCTCCTGAGTGGCGCAGTGGTCTAAGGCACTGCATCGCAGTGCTAACTGTGCCACTAGAGATCCTGGTTCGAATCCAGGCTCTGTCGCAGCCGGCCGCGACCGGGAGACTCATGGGCGGCGCACAATTGGCCCAGTGTCGTCCAGGGTAGGGGAGGGAATGGCCGGCAGGGATGTAGCTCAGTTGATAGAGCATGGCGTTTGCAACGCCAGGGTTGTGGGTTTGATTCCCACGGGGGGCCAGTATAAAAAAAAAAAATGTATTCACTAACTGTAAGTCGCTCTGGATAAGAGCGTCTGCTAAATGACTAAAATGTAAATGTAAATGTACCTCCACTACGAATGTGTCTATAATGTTGTCCTGAGGGAGGAACCAGTGTGCCACCTCCTCCTCGCCCATAGAGGGCGCCAGCTGGAAACGTCTCATGTGCTTCTGCAGCAGCTCCGTCACCTGACGCACGTCACGCCTCTCCATCGCCCGCAAGCCCGGGGTCTTAGTGCTCTACAGAGCCAGAGAGAAAGGGGAGTTATATACATACACCCAGCATCACACTTCTCACACAGGCTTGTAACAATAAAGCAAAGTTCATTAGCACCCTCGGTTGGGGGAAAAGAGTCTTGCTCAGTGTAGGATAAATGTGATAAATGGTGGAAGTGTAACATTGTGTGTGTTCTTACGTCCGGTAGTCTATACAGTTTCATGGTTCTCTGCAGCGTCATGTTTCTGCTCAGGTGAGAGAATTTCACCTCCACCAGCTTCCTGGGGTTCAGAGAACGATGCCAGTACCTGTCCACAAAACACAATACTCCAGTTACATACTCTAGTTACAGTCAACTTAATACAGCAAGGCAACTTATGTTATGCATTCTCATTCTGTTAAGACAAATTCATGAATTGTATGTGTGTGTGTGTGTGTGTGTACCTGCAGGTAGACACAGGTTTGGGTAGTACCACTCCTGCCGTGTAGACGGCCTGGAATATACCCTCCAAGTTAACCCTTCGTGTGATCTCCCTGATCAGAACTGGAGCCACACGCTTCGAACGCAATTTCTTATGGACACACAAGAAGTTTATCTCAACCATCTTCTTTAAGCTGGAGAGAGAAAGAGAGAGAGAGAGAAAGAGAGAGAGTGAGAGAGAGAGAAAGAGGGGGAAAAAGTGTGCATCAAGTTCAGCACTGACATGCACCTGTCCACGATGTTGATGTGTGTCCGATGTGTGGTTAGGGTCTGTGTGTGTGTGTGTGTGGGGGGGAGGGGGGGGTGGGTGTGTGTGTGTGTGTGTGTGTGTGTGTGTGTGTGTGTGTGTGTGTGTGTGTGTGTGTGTGACTCACGTGTCATATATGTGGATATCAGCAGGAATGGCACTGATGAAACCAACCAGTTTCTTATTGGAGGAAACCCTCACCCCACAATGCCACTGGGGCAACCAGCCTGGAGGACGCAACGCCCTGAGGGAGAAGGAGAAAAAGAGAGAAAGAAAGAGAGAGAGAGAAAGAGAGAGAAAGAGAGAGAAAGAGAGAGAGAAAGAGAAAAAAAAATAAGGAAGTATAGTAGTTTAGACAGAGGCCAAACACAGACAGTTGAACATAATCTAAGTCGAGTATGGATTTCACTTCTTACCATTTGAGAAAGTTGGGTGAGTAATCAAATCTAAACATGTTGTCATCATCCTCCACATAGTTCTCATTCAACAAGGTGTACAACTCCTTCAGCTGAAAGAGAGACAGAGAGAGAAAGAGAGTCTTAGTAAAGTCTTCCGATAGCAAGACCTAGATGTCTGGTGGCACTGAATATAAACTTTTTAAACACAAAGAAACATACACACACTCACCACGTCAGCGTTGCTGAGGTCCAGAGTGTCCCACATAAAGCCCTGAGGTAGAGAGTAGGGCTCCTGTCTGATGTTGTCCTTGTCAGCCTCGATGGGCCCATGGCTCGTTACAACCTCATCTGCCAAAACACAACCAGACAACCACACAATCACAACCAGCTACACAATCACAACCAGCTACACAATCACAACCAGCCACACAATTACAATCAATCAACCACACAATCACAAAATACAGGAAATACAGCCAGTGTTTTCTTACTATAATAATCTGCTTCACTTTCTCTGATTGTGGGAGTACTGTATCTGTACAATATTTACAGTGCATCTAGAAAGTTTACACCCCCTAGAACCGTTTTCACATTTTGTTGCGTTACAAAGTGGTATTGAAATAGATTTAATTGTATTTTTTTGTCATTGATCTATACAAAATACTACACAAAATACTCAAAATTCTACACATTTTTACAAATTAATAAACATTTCATACTTAAATAGTCATTGCATAACTATTCAGCCCCTTTGTTTAGGCAAGCCTAAATTAGTTCAGAAGTAAAATTTGGCTTAACAAATCACATATGTTATATGGACTCGGTGTGAAATAATAGGGGTTGACATGATTTTTGAATGACTACCCCTTCCTCTGTCCCCCATACATAAAACATCTGTAAGGTCTCTCAGTGAAGTATTGAATTTCAAGCACAGATTCAACTACAAAGACCAGCGAACTTTTCGAAAGCCTCATAAAGGGCAGTGATAGGTAGATGGGTAAAAATAACAAATCAGACATTGAATATATCTTTATGCATGGTCAAGTTAATAATTATGCTGTGAATTATGTATTAAACCACCCAGACACATCAAAGATGCAGTAGTCCTTCTGAACTGAGCTGCAGGACAGGAAGGAAACTGCTTAGGGATGTCACCATGATGCCATTGGTGATTTTAAAACAGCTATAGAGTTCGATGGCTGTGATGTGGAGAAAACTGAGGATGGATCAACAATATTGTGTGACTCCACAATAATGACCTAAATGACAGAGTGAAAAGAAGAATACAAATATTCCAAAACATGCATATGTATGGAACAAGGCACTAAAGTAATACTGCAAAAAAATATGGCAAAGCAATACACTTTTTGGCCTAAATGCAAAGTCTAATGTTTGGGGCAAATCCATCACTGAGTAACTGCCTCCTTATTTTTAAGCATGGTGGTGGCTGCATCATGGTATGGGTATGCTTGACACCGGCAAAGACTGGGGAGTTTTTCAGGATGTAAAGAAACGAGATGGAGCTAAGCTCAGGCAAAATCCTAGAGGAGAACCTGCTTCAATCTGCTTTACACCAGACACAGTGAATGTTCCTGAGCGGCCAAGATAGATTTTCAAACAGATTCAAGTCAAAACTATGTCAAGACTTGAAAACTGCTGTCTAGCCATGATCCCCAACACCTTGACAGAGCTTGAAGAATTTTGAAAAGAATAATTTGCAAATATTGCACAATACTGGTGTGCAAAGCTCTTATGAGACTTACCCAAGAAGACTCAAAGCTGTAATCGCTGCCAAAGGTGTTTCTAACATGTATTGACTCAGGGGACTGAATACTTATCTAATCAAAGTATATTAGTGTTTAATTTTTGCAGCCCGCCTGGTGTTCAACCTTCCCAAGTTCTCCCATGTCACCCTGCTCCTCTGCAAACTCTACCGGCTTCCAGTTGAAGTTTGCATCCACTACAAGACCATGGTACTTGCCTACGGAGCAGCAAGAGGAACTGCCTCTCCTTACCTTCAGGATATGCTCAAATCCTACACCCCAACCTGAGCACTCCGTTCTGCCACCTCTGGTCTCATGGCCCTCCCACCCCTACGGGAGAGCAGCTTCCGCTCAGCCCAGTCCAAGCTCTTCTCTGTCCTGGCAGCCCAATGTTGGAACCTGCTTCCGAAAACACCTGAAACCCTACCTCTTCAAAGAGTATCTTAAATAATCCCACAGCATCCCCCACCAAAATAAAAAATAAATAAATGCCTCCTTAAAAGCTCTTTGAGGAAAAATGTACTTACTATGTCTGTGATATGTGGTTGTCCCACCTAACTACCTTAAGATGAATGCACTAACTGTAAGTCACTCTGGATAAAAGCATCTGTTAAATGACAAAGATTGACATTTTTTATTAATATACAGTACCAGTCAAAAGTTTGGACACACCTACTCATTCAAGGGTTTTTCTTTACTTTTACTATTTTCTACATTGTAGAATAATAGTGAAGACATCAAAACTATGAAATAACACATATGGAATCATGTAGTAACCAATTTTTTTTTTAACAAATCAAAATATATTTGAGATTTGAGATTCTTCAAATAGCCACCCTTTGCCTTGATGACAGCTTTGCACACTCTTGGCATTCTCTCAACCAGCTTCATGAGGAATGCTTTTCCAACAGTCTTGAAGGAGTTCCCACATATGCTGAGCACTTGTTGGCTGCTTTTCCTTCAGTCTGCGGTCCAACTCATTCCAAACCATCTCAATTGGGTTGAGGTTGGGTGATTGTGGAGGCCAGCACTCCATCACTCTCCTTCTTGGTCAAATAGCCCTTACACAGCCTGGAGGTGTGTTTTGGGTCATTGTCCTGTTGAAAAACAAATGATAGTCCCACTAAGCGCAAACCAGATGGGATGGCGTATCGCTTCAGAATGCTGTGGTAGCCATGCTGGTTAAGTGTGCCTTGAATTCTAAATAAATCACTGACAGTGTCACCAGCAAAGCACCCCCACACCATCACACCTCTCCTCCATACTTCACGGTGGGAACCACACATGCGGAGATCATCTGTTCACCTACTCTGCGTGTCACAAAGACACAGAGGTTGGAACCAAAAATCTCAAATCTGGACTCATCAGACTAAAAGGACAGATTTCCACCGGTCTAATGTCCATTGCTCGTGTTTCTTGGCCCAAGCAAGTCTCTTCTTATTATTGGTGTCCTTTAGTAGTGGTTTCTTTGCAGCAACTTGACCATGAAGGCCTGATTCACGCAGTATCCTTTGAACAGTTGATGTTGAGATGTGTCTGTTACTTGAACTCTGTGAAGCATTTATTTGGGTTGCAATTTCTGAGGCTGGTAACTCTAATGAACTTATCCTCTGCAGCAGAGGTAGCTCTGGGTCTTCCTTTCCTGTGGTGGTCCTCATGAGAGCCAGTTTCATCATAGCGCTTGATGGTTATTGAGACTGTACTTGAAGAAACGTTCAAAGTTCTTGAAATGTTCCGTATTGACTGACCTTCATGTCTTAAAGTAATGATGGACTGTCGTTTCTCTTTGCTTATTTGAGCTGTTCTTGCCATAATATGGACTTGGTCTTTTACCAAATAGGGCTATCTTCTGTATACTTTTTTGGTTACTACATGATTCCATATGTGTTATTTCATAGTTTTGATGTCTTCACTATTATTCTACAATGTAGAAAATAGTGAAAATAAAGAAAAATGGGGGCGGCAGGTAGCTTAGTGGTTAAGAGCGTTGTGCCAGTAATCGAAAGGTCGCTGGTTATAATCCCCGAGCCGACTAGGTGAAAAATCTGTCGATGTGCCCTTGAGCACATAACCCTAATTGCTCCTGTAAGTTGCTCTGGATAAGAGCGTCTGCTAAATGACAAAAAAAAAACAAAAAAAACATGGAATGAGTAGGTGTCCATACATTTGACTGGTACTGTATATAAAAAAAAACATTCTTCCACTAAGTATTTTGTGTAGATCATTGACAAAAAGTGACAATTAAATCCCAATTTGTAACAAAATGTGAAGACATCCAAGGGAGGTGTAGACTTTCTATAGGCACTGTATATGTCCGTCAGTTTGTCTACATCCAGCACCTCCTCCACTGCCTCTCTACCGACATCCGCTGCCAGCACCCCTCCACCAGAGGTACCCCTCCGGCTAAGGAACCTAATGCAAGCCCTCAGCATGTCTCTAGCCCAGGCCAAGGAGAGAGCTCACCAGAAACGCTCATCCAAGAAGGCCCCTGCCATGGACTGGAGCAAGAGGAACGAACTCTTCAGTAACCTATAAATCACACGTTTCCTTCCGTCTTTCTCTGGCCCTCACTCCCTCTTTAGCTCTCTCGCAAGCAGACACACACAGTGTTAATATTTTGTGATTTCATGATTTTCATGTGCTAAGTGAAGGGTTTTCCATTTTTATTTAAAAACAAATTGAAACGCCACTCCTGAATAAGAAACAATGTAATTAACAATTTAAAGATGGAAAAACAATGTACATTTTACATCTAGTAGAGTAGAATGATGAAGAAATAAAAGATGATGGGATATATGGAAAATAAGAATTAACATATTGCTAGTGAGTAATCGATCTAGTGATATGGTGTGTGTGTTATGCACTCACTAACTGTAAGTCGCTCTGGATAAGAGTGTCTGCTAAATGACTAAAAATGTAAATGTAAATGTTGTGTAGCTTAATAAAAGTGTGTGATCGAGTGTTTATGTCTCACTCACTGTGTGTGTGTGTGTGTGTGTGTGTGTCCCTACTCACTGAGTTTAGGTACAGGCTGTGTGTCCCAGAACTGGTACTTGTGTTTGGTGGCCTCGTCGATGCTCTTAGCTGGTCCCTGGCAGGACAGCAACTCCATGGCCCTCTGGATGTCCTGCAGCTTCTGCATGGGCAGCCCTGGGTTCTACACACAGGTGAGAAGGTTACAACACACACACACTCAGAGAGAAAGAGAGAGAGGCCAAATCCCAAATGGACCCCTTACGACCTATGCACTTGTGGAGATCTGAGAGGATTTGATTGGTATATGCAATATGGTGTAACTTCCACCTAGCCTATCTCAGGGCAAGGTGGCGCTATTACCCTATTGCTTACACCTGTCAAATCCAGTCAGATCTCCACAAGTGCATAGGGCTTGATTTGGAATTGGGCCAGGGGGAGAGAGAGAGGTTAGGCACCTTTATCTCCTGTGAGTCTGAGGCAGAGTCTGACTTGGCCCCTCCTGAGCTCGGCTTCTCTTTCTTTCTCTTCTGTTTCTTCTTCTTCTTCTTAGCCCCCAAGTCTCCCCCCGGACTCCTACACACACAGACAGATTTGATAGCTAGCTGGCTACATCTCTGCTCTGGAGTAAAGGTTAGCTGGCAGTAGTAGTAGTAGTGTCATGCAAGTGGAAGCTGTCATGCTGAATAATTAAAGTCAGGCTAAAATGGGGGCCAAATTATGCATACACTACGTGAGTTGCAGGACATTTATAAATCTACGATTATCGCTGTTGGCTATAGTGGGTATACCTCAGTGGGTGTACGCGGAACGGAGAAGCCATCGCTCTGCCTAACAACAACGTTTAGCTTTCAGACGGTTTTAGGTCTAGCCTGCTTCTGTAACGTCAGAGAAGGACAGCCAAGGATATGCGCTGCCGTTAGCTAGTAGCAAATGCGCCAGTAGTATAAAACAAAATAAGCCTTTTAGTTAGATAAATATATGCATTTAGCTTATGCCCTTCCATTGACGCAATTGCTTTAAATATAAACAAGTCAATCCTACAGGCTACACACATGCTGAACAGGCAATTTAGCTAGCTGGCCAGTTAGCTAGCAATTACTACATAACGCCTAGCACGCTGAGTCTCATTCATTCAAATGAAAAGCTAGCTTTAATTTATATGGCTACACTGCCATGACATCCACTAGCCAGCAGGACTCAGACAACAGAGGTCCATCATCACATAAAAACATTATGTGATAGGATTAGCGAACAGGGCATCTATGGGCCTTGGTCGTAAATAAACTAAACGTTAGACGTGTGCGCGAGCTCTTTATCCAAAGAATCTCATCCACCCCCTACACAGCACCGGGCCATCAGAGCGTGGAAGCGTGCTTCCCCGGACTGCTGCGTTTTGTGTCTGGTTGGAGAAGCCGAGCCTCACCCTTGCATATGTTCATTCTCCTCCTCGTTATCGCCATCTATTCCGCAGGTATCCTGGTCGTCCAGCTCCAGGCTCTGCTGGCTGGCTGCGGACTCGCTATCCTCCGCCATCATGGATGAAAACCTATATATTTATATAAAAAAATATGCTGAATGATACAGGCGACAGGGAGGGATGGAAAAAACAAAGAGGGTTAAGTCTGAAATAGCGCCATCTAGTGGCCAATCACATCGCAGCACGTTTGCAGCGCAGTAGGCTTACGTTCCCAAATCACATCACAGCGATACAAGGATAGGTCAGTGATACACTACACTACATGACCAAAAGTATGTGGACACCTGCTCGTCGAACATCTCATTCCAAAATCATGTGCATTAATATGGAGTTGGTCCCCCCTTTGCTGCTATAACAGCCTCTACTCTTCTGGGAAGGCTTTCCACTAGATGTTGGAACATTGCTGCAGGGACTTGCTTCCATTCAGCCACAAAGGCATTAGTGAGGTTAGGCCTGGCTCGCATTCGGCGTTCCAATTCATCCCAAAGGTGTTCGATGGGGTTGAGGTCAGGGCTCTGTGCAGGCCAGACAAGTTCTTCCACACCAATCTCACCAAACCATTTCTGTATGGGCCTCGCTTTGTGCACAGGGGCATTATCATGCTGAAACAGGGAAAGGGCCTTCCTCAAAATGTTGCCACAAAGTTTGAAGCACATAACTGTCTAGAATGTGATTGTATGCTGTAACGTTAAGATTTCCCTTCTCTGGAACTAAGGGGCTTAGCCCGAACCATGAAAAACCGCCCCAGACCATTATTCCTTCTCCAAACTTTACAGTTGACACTATGCATTGGGGCAGGTAGCGTTCTTCTCCTGGCAAAACCCAGATTCGTCTGTCGGACTGCCAGATGGTGAAGCGTAATTCATCACTCCAGAGAACGCGTTTCCACTGCTCCAGAGTCCAATGGCTGCGAGCTTTACACCACTCCAGCCGACGCTTGGCATTGCGCATGGTGATCTTAGACTTGTGTACAGCTGCTCGGCCATGGAAACCCATTTCATGAAGCTCCGGACGAACAGTTATTGTGCTGACGTTGCTTGCAGAGGCAGTTTGGAACTCGGTAGTGAGTGTTGCAACTGAGGACAGATGATTTTTACGAGCTACGCGCCTCAGCACTCGCCGGTCCCGTTCTGTGCGCTTGTGTGGTCTACCACATCACGCTGAGTCGTTGTTGCTCCTAGACATTTCCACTTCACAATAACAGCACTTACAGTTGACCGGGGCAGCTCTAGCAGGGCAGAAATTTGACGAACTGACTTGTTGGAAAGGTGGCATCCTATGACGGTGCCACGTTGAAAGTCACTGAGCTCTTCAGTAAGGCCATTCTACTGCAAATGTTTGTCCATGGAGATTGCATGGCTGTGTGCTCGATTCTATACACCTGCAGCAACGGGTGTGGCTGAAATAGCCGAATCCACTAATTTGATGGGGTGTTCACATACTTTTGTATATATAGTGTAGATCAAAAGTTATCATATATTATTTTTTAAACACATCAGCATTGCCACGCTATGGAGTGCGTCTGCCAGCTACTGAATTCGGGGGGAAACGGCTGAGCTGCAAGTTCTCTGGCCGTTATGTCCCAATATGGCCATCAGTGGGTTGATATACTGCTCTCTTAAATCCGCCCGTTAGTAACTGCCAACCGGGAAAGCCTTGAGGGGGGAGTCAGGTTCTCCCAGTCAGCAAGATGTTGATCGATTTCTTGTCTATATACAGGTCCGTCAAAAGGAGCATGAAATCTGACAAGCCTAATGGAAACAAATAGGTCAAACATAAGTGAATGAAAAGCTTTACTATAATTCAGTGTGGCTCAGTGCTGAAGAACATGTAGCCATGACTACTGCATTAGTTATCAGATACATTAACAAAAACCATAAGAGCAGAATGTGAACCATGCATCCGGATACAGTCTAATCCTGAAGCTTGCCCACATTTGACGTTGATCTACAGAGGATGACTCAATTATGTTCTCCTTAATTCTACTACACCCAAACCTGCTCTATAGTCTCTAGACTAGTGCTAAACAATCCACAGAAGATGCAGAAGTCCAGTTTGTCTCTTTATTCAGAATAATAAGCGTAAATTATAATACAAGCAACCAGTTAAGACATTTAGAATGGAGGGTACAGTAACATACAGTACTCTCCCAGAGTGGTTACTATGGTGATGGAGTACAGAGAGAGAGAGAGAGGATGAGGGGTCATTCACAACACTAGCTCACACGTCAACATGTAGAGAGAACTTATATACACTGTAATATGCCTCAGATGTCATATGCTGTCCCACCACACACACATTACCTGCAAGTATATCGTCTGACACCACCGTGCATATGACCTCAGGCACATGCTTGCTCAGACAGACATGACTACAGAACGGGCCCACACACTCAAGCTGACAAAACACAGGCACACAGAGGCAGATGCAAAAGTCAATAAACAATCTAGCTATAGCCACACAGCATCCTCCCTTTGTGACTGAGGAGAGGAGAGAGGGGGGTTACTGCATGCCGTCTGCCAGGGACAGAGGGAGGAGAGGAGAGAGGGATGAGGTAGTGGAGGGTTAGAGCTCAACAGGGGAGAGGAGAAATAAATAGCTAGTTGAACTGATCAACTGATGTGTACGAGTCAACTTGTTCAAAGGCACTTGGAGAACGAGGAAGTCGATTATAGTGGTTTCAAAACGACAGGATGCAGTTTGGTATCAGAGAAAAGGCTTGGGTGTGCGTGTGTTAAAACTCTGTACTTACAGTAAGGGAAAAAAACAATAAAACATATCCGAGTAGAAAATAGCATAAACTCATTTGAGTAAAATAGTTTGGCAACTAAAATCACAGAGTACTTAAAATTACAAAACAAGGCATCTCAAGCAACTGTATAAAAGTGATGCATAGCCGTTCAGAGCAAAGTATGCCGAAGTCAGTGGTTCAACACCTAAAAACCTTCATATAAAACCTCACTGGTATAGTGCTGCAATATCCACAGTCACCAACAGAGGGGGGTGTATCCCATTATCTGATTCACCAGTCGTGTGGATGGGAAGTTGAAGTTACACATACACTGATCTAAGGTACCCTAATGTTGGAAAGTGGAAAACTAAAAAAAGAACAAAACAAAATATATTTTAGTGTCACATACACCGGATAGGTGTAGTGAAATGTGTTGTTTTACAGGGTCAGCCATAGTAGTACAGCGCCCCTGGAGCAAATTAGGGTTAAGTGCCTTGCTCAAGGGCACATCGATAGATTTATCACCTTGTTGGCTCGGGTATTTTCGAACCATTGACCTTTCCGTTACTGGCCCAACGCTATAACCGCTAGGCTACCTGCCGCCCAGATTAAGACTTGTGGGGGGAAAACTGATCGTAGATCTGTGCTCTGGGCAACGTCTACCTGCAGAATTATACATTAGAGTACATTTGAGTAGCTTCCTTTCCTGCTGTATGTATATCCCTGTGTCCTAGTTACTGTTCTTAAAACACTACTACCCCTTCTACCTAGACCTGCCAATAGACATCCGCCATATTGCTTTTACTTGTCCGATGCTTTTCAGATCAGTGGACTGAAGCAGATAAGACTGAGGAAAGGAAGCTGCTGATAAGTATTGAAGCACACTCATTGTCTGTCTCTGCTTCATTCTACAGCCTCTTTTTGCTGACAGCTAATTTACTAAAGGCATAGCAGTTGTGCATAACATGTTCTCTGACGTTGTTTTTTTAACTTCAGGAGTTCATCTGTATCACTCAGACAAAGTCTCTATGGCATGTCTAGTCAGTGGCCTGTCCATGTAGTGTGGGGCTAGGATGACACACAGTAAGGATTAGACATGTCATAAAAGAGATTAGGATGTATGGAGTTCCAACTGTTCCAATCGTTTCCATTCACTGACAGTTCCATTTAGCTCCCAGTGCAGATGTACTTCCTGAATGGTCTGGACATCTATAGCTGGCTAATCCTTCTTCATGTCACTCTGGGGTGGGGTGGTGGGGGGGAAGTAATGTCATAGTTCAAGGGTCAGAGGTTATTTGAGGTTAAAGGCTGCCAGTAGGGGGCGCTCCTCCCTCTTCTGCCAGGGGCTCTTCTTCTCCTCCTCTCCGTGGTCATCAGGGGCAACAGCCAGTAGGGCTGTCTGGTCATGCTCAGTCCTGAAGACCACGCCTTCTGGCTCTGGGAGGGGGGGTGGGGAGGAGGAGGAGGGGGAGGAGAGGGGTGAAGGAGCCTCTTCCTGTATCATCCCCTCTCCTCTGTGTTCCTCCTCTTCTTCTTCTTGATGTCCCTGTGTGTTCTGCAACACTGGACCCAAAGGGCTGTCCTGGGGGCTACACTCAGGAGTCTCCCCCTCCTCCTCGCTGTCCGGCCCGTCCAGGTCATCCACATATACCAGCTGGGTGTAGGCCATGGCAGGAGGGCCGCTCTTTGTCCTCCCCCTCTCTCTGTCCTTCTCTCTTTCCCTCTCTCCTACCTCCCTCCCCCTCCGCCCCGCTCTGGGCTCGTTCAGGTCCACACCGGAGTCCAGACTTGCGTCGTTTCCGTTGACATGTCTACCACCACTGTTGTTACCATGGCTACCTCCTCCCCCTGGATTCCCCTTGGCTTGTCCAGCCCGCTGCAAGTCTATGTAAGAGTGTCTGATGGCGTTAGACCGACCGTCCAATGAGACGAACCAGGCGCGTGGGTGTGTGAGGGGCTTCCCTCCCCTCAGTTCCATCAGTTTCTTCTCGGCCAATAGCGTGTCCTCGCCGTTCATTTGCATAATCCCTGCCTCCCCAAGTGCTGTCGGGATAGACAGGGACTCTGATAGGCTGCTCCACTCCCCTTGCCCCTCTCTTAGTCCCTGGTTGGCTGAGGCGGTGGCATAGTCGGTGTGTGTTTGCCCCAGAGGCTGCTGGGAGTGTGAGGCGTTGAGCTCAGCCTGGATGGTCTCCAGGTCACTCTGCTGGTCAGTCTGTAAGAACAGGGCCTGGCCACACAGCGGGTGTTCCCCCGGCAGGCGCATGTAGTGGGCTGGGATCACCAGGGTGGGCCGGATCCTCCTGGGGTAACCGTCTCCTCCACTCAGCAGGTCCACAGAGCCACAGCACAGCAGCTGGCCCGGCCTGGGGAGGGAGAGGGGCAGGGAGCCCAGGTGGTCCACAGATCGGGACAGGAAGTAGTCTGGGGGTCTGCGCTCACACCCCTCCCCTCTGATAGGGGAGACAGGTGGAGAGCAGGGGGAGGTAGCCTCACACACACTAGTCGCTCCCTCCCCCACACCACTCAATTGAGCTGCCGACGCCTGCACCTGATTTGAGGATGAAAGTCTATCTGGGAGCTGATTGGTAGATGAGCAGATGGAGGTGTATGATTGGCGGTAGCCGGCATCCGTCCCGGTGGAGAGGGCTGACTTTAACGGGAATGTCTCCACAGACTGACGGTAGTCTTTGCTGCGCGGCGTCAGGTTGCCTAGCGATGAGCCATGACGACTTTGGCTGTGGTTGCCTAGCGACATGCGACTGTGGTTGCCATGGGAGACCAGGTCATGGCAATCGTAGGAGGAGGGTTTGAGCATGGGCGTGGTCATGTCGGGTTCTGTTGTCGTAGAGACCAGCTCCAAATGAACCTAAAGATGAGACAAGATTTTAGTGTCAGTTTCCACAGACAGTAGCACAGCGCCATTTCTAACATGCTCTTCAAAGAAAATACACAGATGACACAGGGGAACAATAACATGAATACACACTAACACAAAAGTGAAAAAACAGAATATTAGCTGTGATTTTAACAATAGAAAGTGCAAAGGCAGTTACAAAGTGCAGTGGAAAAGGGAGAAAGCATGTTTGTACGAAGAGACCAGTGGTCCCTGGCCTGGTTGTTGACTGACCTCGCTGCTGATGAGATTGAGGTGAGACATGGAGGTGGCCTGATCTCTCTTACTGCCCTCCAGACCAGACGACAGATTCAGCTTCCGATGGGACAGACGAGGCTTCACACAACCACGCCTGGAGAGAGAGAGACAGTGAGGGAGAGACAGGGAGAGAGAGAGAGACGGAGAGAGAGAGAGAGACAGTGAGGGAGACAAGGAGACAGACATGGAGAGAGAGAGCTCGAAGAGCGAGAGAGCAGTATGGAAGGAGAAGACAGAGAGAGAGAGCGAGACAGAGAGGACGAACAGAGAAGAGAGAGCGGAGAGAGAGAGAGACGAGACAGGAAGACAGGAACAAGAAGGAGAGGAGAGAAAGGAGAACAGGGAAGAGAGAGTAGGAGACAGGAGACGACATGGAGAGAGAGAGAGAGGGACGACAGAAAGACAGACGAGAGAGAGCAGAGGAGAGAGACAGACAGAGAGAAGACAGAAGAAGACAGGAGAAAGAGGAAGAGAGAAGGGAGACGGACAAGACAGAATGAGAGGGAGAGAGCGAGAGAGGAGGAGAAGGGAGGGAGAGAGACAGAGAGGAGACAAGAGACAGACATGGAGAGAGAGAGAGGAGAGACAGAAAGACGAGGAGCAGAGCAGACGAAGGGAGAGAGAAGAGACAGAGACAACTGGAGAGAGGAGAGAGAGAAAGAGAAGAGAGAGAGAGAGAGAGAGAGAGAGAGAGAGAGAGGAGAGAGAGAGAGAGAGGAGAGAGAGGAGAAGAGAGAGAGAGAGATGAGCGAGAGAGACGAAGAGAGAGAGAGGACAGAAGAGAGAGCGAGAGAAGAGAGAGAGAGGAGAGAGGAGAGACAGAGAGAGAGAGAGAGACAGGAAAGAAGGAGAGAGAGAGAAGAAGGGAGGAAGAAAGAAGAGAGAAGGACAGACAAGACAAGGGAGAGAGAGAGAGAGAGACAGAGAGAGGAGAGAGAGAGAGAGAGAGAGAGAAAGAAGAGAGAGAAGAGGGGAGAGAGAGAAGGGGGGATAAAGTTCAGTTAAGAGAAGACAGTCCTGTTGAAACTCAAGACTCCTTCACTGACACACAAGACACACTTATGAAAGTCAGCAGGGAAGTCCATTGATCCAGACAGACGGACAGACCTGCAGTAGTACAGCAGTAGACAGAGCAGGCAGAGGAGGATGACAGCCATGCCTCCCAGTATGGCCAATAGGAAGACTGTGTGGTACGTACTGATGTCCTTTGTCACCACCGGACCTGTAGAAACACACACAAGTTTTACCTGTTTTAAATGTGTATGTTGGTACCTGTGTCTAGTGGGGACATGGTGTGTGTGGGTGTTGTGGGGTACCATGGGTGTGTGGTACTGTATCTAGTGGGGACATGGGTGTGTGTTGGTACCTGGTAGCTAGATGGGTACATGGTGTGTGTTGGTACCTGGTCTAGTGGGGAATGGTGTGTGTGGTACGTGTCTAGGGGGACATGGTGTGTGTGTTGGTACCTGTTGTCTAGTGGGGACCATTGGTGTGTGGTTGGTACATGTATCTAGTGGGGAACATGGTGTGTGGTTGGTACCTGTGTGTAGTGGTGACATGGTGGTGTGTTGGTCCTGGTGTCTAGTGGGGACATGGTGTGTGTTGGTACCTGGGTATCTAGTGTGGGACATGGTTGTGTGGTTGGTACCTTGTGTCTAGTTGTGGACCATTGGTGTTGTGTTTGGTACCTGTATCTAGTTGTGGGACATGTGTGTGTGTTGGTACCTGTGTCTAGTGGGGACATGGTGTGTGTTGGTACCTGTGTCTAGTGGGGACATGGTGTGTGTTGGTACCTGTGTCTAGTGGGGACATGGTGTGTGTTGGTACCTGTGTCTAGTGGGGACATGGTAGCCACCCAGTATCCAAGCTGAGGAGCGATGTAGGTTAGGCTGAGCTGGTCTCCCTCCCTCTGGACATAGCCCAGACTGCTCTTCAACCAGGCCCCTACACACACACACACACACACACACACACACAGAGTTAGAGATATACTCTTCAACCATAGTAAATCAGTGTAAAGCATTTGGCCTCGTCACTGTGCTGCTGCGGTTCTCCAGTCAACCACAGGGAGGCAGCATACTCACAGTGACACAGTCATAACTCATACTGGCCATGAGCCATAGGAGTTAGAATCATCATAACACAGCCAGACACAGTCATTGTGTAAGATGAGGTAACACGACCTGGACACTGATCGAATGTCAGTTTTTCATTTAGTCCCCATTGGTTATGATAAGGATTTGTGGTATGTAGGCTGATCCTAGACCTGTGTATGAGAGGGGCTATGACAGTGCAGCAGTAGGCTCTGCAGAGGATTCTCTGTCTATTATAGATGCTCTGATGTAATTCAATTAGAAGGGAAGAACTAATGTACAGGGAGGGGGAGAGAGAAACAAGAGATGGAGAGAAATGCCTGTGACTCAGCATCTTTGTGATTCGGGTCGCCTCCATCCCTAACACACACACACACACACACACACACTGTTCTCATCAATCCCCATGGACCAAGTACAGCTAAGCACTGAAACAGCCCAACCCAACCCAGCCTGACACAGCACAGCCATGTCCTCCTGAGGTGTCAACTCTCACTGGATGACCTTTTACATTAGTGACATTGAAACCCACTGTTCCGACGATGCCTTACAGCCAGAGGGTATTGTATCCTCTGGCTGTAAGGCATCGCACACACACATATACACACGCACACATATACACACACACACACACACACACACACACACACACACACACACGCAAGCATGCACACGCAGACAATATAGCCTGCAGTGCTCCAGATGCCTTTCCCTGTCACAGAGTCAACACCGGTCACCTTTACATTAGCTACTAGTCCTTTGTGTGTGTTTGTAAGAACGTCATCATGAACTCTGTTCAGATGTGAACTGGCTGGTATTTACACCATTAACTCTTCTCTGTAATATATGGAGTGTGGATGAAACACACTGGACTGGAGCCTCTAATGTCTTTATTATCTGGTATCAACAAACACACCGAACAAGGATCCTACCGCCAGAGGCAAAAGATTGTTGTGGCCTTACTTTCGGAACAAACAGAACTAGTAAGTAAACACACACACACACTAGGAGGTAAACATGCTCCTTTCTTACAGTATATGACATCATTCAGCTCAGTGCTCCAAAACACACCGAAAAAATAATGCGCATTTAAACTAGCAGCAGTTTGAGAGAGTGGTTCTGTGTTTCGAACTCCGGATTTGAGAGAGTGTGTGTCGAGTCTGTGTGTACCTGTGAGAAGTGTGTGGTGTGTATTACTTCTGTGAAGTACCTGTGGTGTTGTGTGTTATCCCCTCTCTACATGCAGCCTGTCCATGTGCAGGCCAAGTCAACAACAACAAACTCCCTCCTAACATTGGCTTCTTTGTGTGGAGAAAGAATGATCAGGCAGAAATATTTCTGGAGAAATCTCAAACTCTCTCTCTCACACACTAACTGGTCACTGGAGAAACTCAATTAAAGCCCCTGGCCTGTTAGGTTTTTTATTTGGGGGTTGCTAGGGAAACAGTGGACTAAAACACAGAGGACCAGAGGTGGCTGTTGCTGGGAAATATTAACCCCATACAGCGTGTGTGTGTGTGTGTGTGTGTGTGTGTGTGTTTGTGTGTATTGACACAAGACTACAATACCCTCTGGCTGTAAGACAACGTGGGAACAGTGGGTTTCAATGTCAATGTGACTCATGTAAAAGGTGAGAGTGAGAGTTGACTCCTCAGGAGGACATGTCTGTGCTGGACTGGGCTATGTACAGTACTGTGTGTGATTGTTTACACCATATGTGTATATCTGTGTGTGTGTCTGTGTGTGCTCCTATAGCCCCAGTCCTAATCAACTCATTGGGCTAGTGAATGGTCTCCTTCAGCAACAGTAAGTCACGTTGTGTTGGTCACATTGACTGGACCTTCATAGCACAGGACGTACTTGGTAGTGTGCCACAGGGTGACTGGTTCAAGCCCTACTCTGGCTATCCTCCTAAATCCCTACACTGCAATACTGGCTGAGCCATAGATCTAAGGCTGACTACAACTGTACTGATCTGTAGCCAGAGAGAGAGGGAGGGAGGAAGGGAGTGATTTTCCAAACAGGTTAGGCTACATTTTCTAGCCAATCTTGTGATGTGGATGTAATCAGGAACAGAAAGTATTGTGTTTTGATTTGCATTTTAATACGGTGCGTTATGTCCAATAATATGGTAGATAATCTTTTATAAAGTTCTCAATTATTCCATTCATAACTCTGCCACACTGTAATCTCCCGTCTCACTGTACAGTGTGTGTGTGTGTGTGTGTGTGTGTGTGTGTTGCATTCTGGTGCCTTTTCTTTTCCCAGTTCCTTTAAAAAAGATAAGAATGTAGTGATGCATTTCCCAGCTTGACTCTGACATACATTCCATAAACTTTCTGGATACATACACACACACACACACACACACACACACACACACACACACACACACACACACACACACACACACACACACACCTTATCCCACTGATTAGAAGTTCAGAGAGGAGGAACTCCGGACCCAAACACAGAAAATCTGCTCCCTGCTCAGAACGGGAAAAACAGAAAAGCTGTGTGTGTGAGAGAGTGTGTGTGTGTACTCACCCAGACTGGGGTCGAACCTCCAGGCTGGGATGTGTTGGTTCTCCTTCAGGCCGCTATTGGCCGGTAGAGGGACGGAGATGCTGATTGGTCCGTTCACCTGGAGCTCCACCCCCTTGCTGGCCAATAGGTGGACAGAAATGGCCGCCACTGGAGTCAGCTCAAACCTACGCTCACTTCCTGTTAGAGGAGAAGAGGAGAGCCAAAAGAGAGGAGTAGTGAGGGAGGGAGGAGAGCAGATGAGAGTAGTGAGGGTCGGAGAGAGGGAGGAGAGGTGTAGTGAGAGGAAGGAGAGGAGAGGTGTAGTGAGAGGAAGGAGAGGAGAGGTGTAGTGAGAGGAAGGAGAGGAGGTGTAGTGAGAGGAAGAGAGAGGGAGGAGAGGAGCAGTGAGGGAGTGAGAGGGAGGGAGGAGAAGTTGTAGTGAGAGGATCAGCGGGAGGGAGGAGAGGAGTAGTGAGAGGGAGAGAGAGGGAGAAGAGCAGAGGAAGAGAAGGGAGAGAGAAAAGGTAAGAGGAGAGGAAACAGAAAGAGAGGGGGAGAGGGGTATAAAGAGGATGAGTGACAGGAGATTGTAAGTGGTGGGGTTGGGTGACCTTATGTTATTATACTTTTTATTATTATTATTATTATTTTATTTCCTACTAGCACTGACAACTACTTTGAGGAAAAATGTACTTTCTATGACTGAGATACAGTGGGGAAAAAAGGTATTTAGTCAGCCACCAATTGTGCAAGTTCTCCCACTTAAAAAGATGAGAGAGGCCTGTAATTTTCATCATAGGTACACGTCAACTATGACAGACAAATTGAGAATTTTTTTCTCCAGAGAATCACATTGTAGGATTTTTAATGAATTTATTTGCAAATTATGGTGGAAAATAAGTATTTGGTCACCTACAAACAAGCAAGATTTCTGGCTCTCACAGACCTGTAACTTCTTCTTTAAGAGGCTCCTCTGTCCTCCACTCGTTACCTGTATTAATGGCACCTGTTTGAACTTGTTATCAGTATAAAAGACACCTGTCCACAACCTCAAACAGTCACACTCCAAACTCCACTATGGCCAAGACCAAAGAGCTGTCAAAGGACACCAGAAACAAAATTGTAGACCTGCACCAGGCTGGGAAGACTGAATCTGCAATAGGTAAGCAGCTTGGTTTGAAGAAATCAACTGTGGGAGCAATTATTAGGAAATGGAAGACATACAAGACCACTGATAATCTCCCTCGATCTGGGGCTCCACGCAAGATCTCACCCCGTGGGGTCAAAATGATCACAAGAACGGTGAGCAAAACCCCAGAACCACACGGGGGGACCTAGTGAATGACCTGCAGAGAGCTGGGACCAAAGTAACAAAGCCTACCATCAGTAACACACTACGCCGCCAGGGACTCAAATCCTGCAGTGCAAGACGTGTCCCCCTGCTTAAGCCAGTACATGTCCAGGCCCGTCTGAACTTTGCTAGAGTGCATTTGGATGATCCAGAAGATGATTGGGAGAATGTCATATGGTCAGATGAATCCAAAATAGAACTTTTTGGTAATAACTCAACTCGTCGTGTTTGGAGGACAAAGAATGCCGAGTTGCATCCAAAGAACACCATACCTACTGTGAAGCATGGGGGTGGAAACATCATGCTTTGGGGCTGTTTTTCTGCAAAGGGACCAGGACGACTGATCCGTGTAAAGGAAAGAATGAATGGGGCCATGTATCATGAGATTTTGAGTGAAAACCTCCTTCCATCAGCAAGGGCATTGAAGATGAAACGTGGCTGGGTCTTTCAGCATGACAATGATCCCAAACACACCGCCCGGGCAACGAAGGAGTGGCTTCGTAAGAAGCATTTCAAGGTCCTGGAGTGGCCTAGCCAGTCTCCAGATCTCAACCCCATAGAAAATCTTTGGAGGGAGTTGAAAGTCCGTGTTGCCCAGCGACAGCCCCAAAACATCACTGCTCTAGAGGAGATCTGCATGGAGGAATGGGCCAAAATACCAGCAACAGTGTGTGAAAACCTTGTGAAGACTGACAGAAAACGTTTGACCTGTGTCATTGCCAACAAAGGGTATATAACAAAGTATTGAGAAACTTTTGTTATTGACCAAATACTTATTTTCCACCATCATTTGCAAATAAATTAATTAAAAATCCTACAATGTGATTTTCTGGATTTGTTTTTCTCATTTTGTCTGTCATAGTTGACGTGTACCTATGATGAAAATTACAGGCCTCTCTCATCTTTTTAAGTGGGAGAACTTGCACAATTGGTGGCTGACTAATTACTTTTTTTCCCCCACTGTATGTGGTTGTCCCACCCAGCTATCTTAAGATGAATGCACTAAGTTACTCAGGATAAGAGTGTCTGCTAAATGATAAAAATTGAAAATGGACACATACACACACAGGTTGTTTGAGAGCACAGAGAGGTTATATTGTGTTAAAGGGGACTCTTCTGGGTAGTGTATCTTTGATGGAGCCTCTTACAGAGAGCTGTACCTCACCCCACCCACCCCTCAACCCCTACCTTCACCCCACCCACCCCTCAATGGTGTCCCTTCACCCCAGCCCACCCCTCTCATCCCTCACCACCCCACGCCACCCCATCATCCCTTCACCCCACCCACCCCTCCCCCCTCACCCCTACCTTCACCCCACCCACCCCTCATCCCTTCACCCCACCCACCCCTCAACCCCTACCTTCACCCCACCCACCCCTCATCCCTTCACCCCACCCACCCCTCATCCCTTCACCCCACCCACCCCTCATCCCTTCACCCCTCATTTCCCTACTCCCTTCACCCCATCCACCCCTCATCCCCCTCCTCCATATGTCAAATACTTTCAAATAATTGATTTAGTTTATCCGATACAACGGCACCAATGGAATAGTACCAACAGTGTATTTCACCTAAGTCTGGTCCCAGTCTGTCCCAGTGGTGGTACCTGTTCCGTTGCCCCCCAGGCCCTGCAGGTAGGGGAAGTGCTGGATGTGGCTGGGGTTGTTGGCCACAGTGAGCAGGGCAGTGAGGTTGCTGTAGGACGAGTTGGGAGGGAGGCTCAGGGCTCGACGCTGGAACTGAACCCAGGACTGACCCCTCAATCCTGGGGAGGAAAGGGGGGAGGGGGTCAGGAACCACTCACACACTTAGATCCACTGTTCCTTAGTGATCATCTCCCCTGTAACCCTTTTTAATGCTGCTTATCAAATTAATGTCTGGAAGATTTGTGATGAACGCCATATGGACGCTGGCCTTCTCTCCGCTCACTCTCTTTTCCTCTCATCACTCTGTTATTACTCCTCTATATCAATCTCACCTTTCTAATTCTCTCTCTCTCTCTCTATGTGTGTGTGAGACGTGAAGTGTGTCGAAAGATGTATATAGTGTGTTTACACATTTTACAATACTTGTGAACAATGTTCCCTCAAAAGGCTACTGTGGCTATTTGATCATAATGTAGGCCTACCAGAGTGGCCTACCATCAAAAACAATGGAGAAAATGCATCCCATAACATTTTAACATGGAAATAGCTGTTCTATCATTCAGCCTACAGTAGCAGCCAATGTGTGGTGTTCAATGTAGGCCTACATTTCATGAGACTTTTGAAAAAAACATGCAGGGCTTGACATTAACCTGTTTATCCACTTGTCCTTCAGACAAGGAGGTGACTGAAAATGTTTTTGTGTTGTTTGATGCAAGAAACCACTTTACAAAATAAAATACATTATTATTCCCATAGCATTATTACAGAGAATCAGACACTTATTTTTTAAAATATATATATATATATTAGTAGTCATTTAGCAGACACTCTTATCCAGAGCGACTTACAGTTAGTGAGTGCATACATTTTTTATACTGATGCTACCCTCTGCCTATTGGCTACTTAGCTTATTCAAGCCCGTCTCAAAATACAACACTGCCCCTTTAAGACAAAAAAAAAGCTCTTCACCTGACTCGCTTTTCAAAGAGGTCTAGGATTGTACATGTTTTGTGCTCTTGTAGGAAGCAATCACTCTCCTATTGCTGACTACAAATTATCTATAACTGGGCTAATAACTCACTAACTAAAATCAAATACAATTGTATTGGTCACATAAACATACTTAGCAGATGTTATTGCGGGTGTAGCGAAATGCTTGTGTTCCTAGCTCCAACAGTGCAGTAGTATCTAACAATTCACAATACACACAAATCTCAAAGTAAAATAATGGAACTAGCAAAGGATATGAAAAAATATGAAAAAAAAGCTCTATCGCCTTGATCTCCTGAGTGGCGCAGTGGTCTAAGGCACTGCATCGCAGTGCTAACTGTGCCACTAGAGATCCTGGTTCGAATCCAGGCTCTGTCGCAGCCGGCCGCGACCGGGAGACTCATGGGCGGCGCACAATTGGCCCAGCGTCGTCCAGGGTAGGGGAGGAAATGGCCGGCAGGGATGTAGCTCAGTTGATAGAGCATGGCGTTTGCAACGCCAGGGTTGTGGGTTCGATTCCCACGGGGGGCCAGTATAAAAAAAAAAATGTAATCACTAACTGTAAGTCGCTCTGGATAAGAGCGTCTGCTAAATGACTAAAATGTAAATGTAATCTCAAAACAAGCGCATTTACTCACAACCGTTCATGCTGTAAACACAGTCCAGTTCAAAGTAAACGGCACAGATTCATATATGGCAATGGTCTATTTGCATATAGGCCTACTGCAGCTCTGATTGGTTATGCCGCACCGGTCTGTGTAGAGTACGGGCTGAGTCGTGCGTGTCAATGCAATAGAATCCTACTCCGATGCGTTTCTGCCTACAACAAAATATCTTGCATAGTTTGTTTTGTTTCGGTATGTTGCATTGAAAGTGGCTAATATTGCGTTGATTCGATAAAAATTGCCACAGTAAAGGGAAACGTTGATAGTGTTAACAAGGAAACACTACCCACCAACCTTTCTGAGTCCAAGATCACTTTCTGAGTCAAAATGCAAGCCGAGATCTACCGCAAAAATTTAAAAAATAAAATAAACGTAAGCCTATGAAACATTAACCAATTAAAAACAGTACTGTTGCAATGAGGTTGGTGCAGTAAGCTATAGGCCCAATACATTATCACTGCATATTGGCTTTGCTTGAATTGCCCTGCCAATGCATTGTTGTTCGGGCCATTTAAGAAATATATAAATTATATTAAAACATTTGAGGTAGGCTATATGATCACACCGGTAATAGATCCGTTGTTGTATTACTTTTGAGGCACAGCTGAGTGAGCGTACATTTAAATAATTTGCTTTTTATTTTTATTTTATTGGGCTGATGGTGCCTGCATCTGATGGTCAGTCTCAGCGGAGGGAGGGAGCAGCAGACTGAGGGTCCGCCTCTCAACATCCCTCCGCTCTCCCTTTCCTCCACTGACACTGACCAAAAAGGGACACCTTCTTTCAGCTGTTGGCGAAACTCGAGTCACATCGCATTATTTCCGCCTCATGCACAAATTCATGTTGTTCCTCCTATGACCAGAGAAAGTAAAATATTCCTCTATATTAAAAAAAGACCCAAGCCGCTATTAATAATAACGCAAGCCTATCGACACACTGTCCTACTCATTCATTACTGCTGCAGTGCTCATTGTAGAGCTGAGTGGAAATAGGAAGAACGCGCATTTTATGGCTTATAAAACTGTTGAATACAAAGTGTTGACAGTGCTGAGTAAGAACTTAAACATGAACTCACTCATATTCGTTGACAGTCTCTCTCTAGTCATGGTTTTAAATGTTTTGAAATCTCACAGTATCAACTTTGCTGTAGCTTTCTTTTATATCTGCTACGTTACTGCAGACAAGGTAATCTAAGCCATCCGATTGGCCAGCGGTAGGCCTATAGTGCACTTGATTTGCTCTCCGGGCCCGCCGGGAAGGAAGAGTTTGTACCTTCAGACACATGAAATGGTTCAAAATGGCAACAGTTTGCCTACACGGTGCGCAGGGCAGCTGAATCGGGTGCACCGACCTCCAACAGCCCGAGACTAATAAAAAAAAAAAAAAAAAAAAAGGGTTTTTTACAGAAATGTTTGGAGATTGACTAGGGATGAAGTTCAATCTCGTGCTTCCCTCCTTGGGCTGATATTTCTTGAAGTCCTCACGAGAATAGTAAACAAACCAAAAATTCTGAGATGTGAGGACATTTTGCCGGTCCTCACTTGTAAAAAGGCTATTTTAGGCTTAGGAATTAGATTTAGGGATAGGGTTAGAATTAAGGGTTAGGTTTAGGGTTAGGATTAGGTTTAGGGGTTAGGTTTAGGGGTTAGAGAAAATAGGATTTTGAATGGGAATCAATTGTGTGTCTCCACAAGGTTAGTTAAACAAGACTGTGTGTTTGTGCAAAAGAGAAGTGTGTATAGTGGGGCTTAGCGGTGATGTCATAGTGTTTCCACTGTGGTGAGTGTGCATTCCTGGGCCATGAAACACCGCTGCAGCCGTCTGTGTTTTCTCTAGCTCTGTGTAGCCTCTGCCTTCAGTAAACCTGATCTGGTATTGATCTGAACGTCCAGTGTTGGAATTGGTCTGGTATTGATCTGAACGTCCAGTGTTGGAATTGGTCTGGTATAGATCTGAACGTCCAGTGTTGGAGGAGGTCACGTATTGATCTGAACGTCCAGTGTTGGAATTGGTCTGGTATTGATCTGAACGTCCAGTGTTGGAATTGGTCTGGTATTGATCTGAACGTCCAGTGTTGGAGGTGGTCTGGGATATAATCACATCAACAGGACTGGAGTAACAAAATGGAGAGGAGTTATAGGTAACAGCCTGGGGGGGGGGGTCTCCTGTGCCAATCCAAAAAGCCCCTCTCCTCCTCCCCTTTCCTCTTCTTCTCCTCCTGAGAGTTCCTTCTCTTTTCTTCCCTCTACAATGGATATTCCTCCCTCAGCCTGGACATTGCACCCTTCCCCCTATCCCCTCTTCCCGCCTTCTCCTTTCCTTCTCTCTCCTCTGCCCTCATTCCCCCCCCCCCTCCCCTCAGTCCTCCCCTCACTCATTCTCTCTCCTCCTGCCACATGACAAGGTCTATCGCTCCAGTGGGATTCCAGGTTCAAAATACCATGATACAACACACTGTGTGTGTGGAGGGGGTACACTGTATTCACCAGACCGTAGCATAATTATCCTGCCCTCCTGGAGGACGGACACACACACACACACACACAGCTCAGTCAGCAATGTTTAAAGGAGTATCAGCAGCAGAACCTCACTCAGAGAGGATGGGAGAGCAACAGAAGGGCAGATGGGATGGGACACTCTAAATGAGTATGGTTATTGAAGAGGGACACAGACACACACAGAAAGCAAAACAAGCACATTGATCAGGCACACAAAGATACAGTTCAATTAAATTACATGTGATCTGATAAAATGTATCTAATGTAATTGTAAAAGGAACAGAGGACACGTGCTGCCTGTGTGTTGCTTTCATTAGAGAGATGGTTTAAAGGGGTGGACATCTTTCATTATTAATGTGTGTGAGGTCACTGGGACAAGGACCGTGTCTAAGTACTCTCTCTCTCTCTCACTCACACTGACCTTGGGATCCAGAGTTAATCTGTATAAGGTCTTCATACACCATCAGAGTGGCAGCTCTCTCTGCTAGCAGCTCCAGACTGAGAGAGGAAAACACTGGAATACACAAATTTTTACATTTTAGTCATTTAGCAGACACTCTTATCCAGAGCTACTTACAGTAGTGAGTGCATCCATTTTTGTACTGGTCCCCCGTGGGAATCGAACCCACAACCCTGCCGTTGCAAGCGCCATCCTCTACCAACTGAGCCACACGGGACCCAGTCATTAATTTATTAATTTACATTTTACATTTTAGTCATTTAGCAGACACTCTTATCCAGAGCGACTTACAGTTAGTGAGTGTATACATTATTTTTTATTTTTCATACTGGCCCCCCGTGGGAATCGAACCCACAACCCTGGCGTTGCAAATGCCATGCTCTACCAACTGAGCTACATCCCTGCCGGCCATTCCCTCCCCTACCCTGGACGACGCTGGGCCAATTGTGCGCCACCCCATGGGTCTCCCGGTCGCGGCCGGCTACGACAGAGCCTGGATTCGAACCAGGATCTCTAGTGGCACAGCTAGCACTGCGATGCAGTGCCTTAGACCACACTAAACCACACTGTGGCTCATTTTTCATTCTCACTAATAAAAGGTAATCTATTGAATTTTGGTTTTCCTCTCAACTTTTCTTTATTTTCTAACATTGTGGTTGGTAGGAAAACATATTTGAAGATCTTACTTGACTAGTTTAAATCTCTAGCTTTCCCTTTTATGTTCTCTGTGATCTGTCTCTACTTTTAAACCCTTGGATGCTGTTTTTCATAGCGCCATTCGTTTTATCACAGGAGACAGTTCTATTACTCATCACTGTATTCTTTACCAAAAGGTTGTCTGGACCTCTTTAAAGTCATGTAGATCACATCATTCCTCTCTTTTTGTTTACAAAGCCCTGCTCCACAAACCTCCGACTTACCTTAGCTAACATAACTATTAAGATTTAAAATGACAAGTTATCAAATCCGTTCACATGGTTGGTTAACTCTGGAGACTCCTTTGGTGTCTAGAGCGTTAGGTCAATCAGCCTTTAAATTCCTTGCACCTTACGTGGGGAATGATCTACAATACACTTGGAGGAATTGGTGCCTCTAGGGCATTTCAGATGGTTGTTAGGGGACCTTTTATATGAATGTGTAGTTGAATGTGTTTATTGTATTGTGATGTGTATTGTGGTGCTATACAGGGCTCATCTGGAAAAGAGACGCTGGTCTCAGCATTGACACCCTGTCCCCTGTAGCTCAGTTGATAGAGCATGGCGCTTGCAACGCCAGGGTTGTGGGTTCGTTTCCCACGGGGGGCCAGTATGAAAATGTCTGCACTCACTAACTGTAAGTTGCTCTGGATAAGAGCGTCTGCTAAATGACTAAAATGTAAAATAAAGGCTGAATAAATATCATACAACAGACCAAAGTTCTCTACTCTTTCCTACTTCCGCTGTCTTCCTGTCACCCCTCCTTTCCTTTCCTTTCTCGGTCACTCCTCCTTTCCCCTCTCTGTCACTCCTAGTGCTGATAAGCGTGTGTGTGTGTGTGAACAATTTGAAAGTGGTGTGTGAGGATAATGGGGGTGTTCCATTACAGCTTTATTATAATAAGTATCCCCCTCCTCCATCACACACACACCTCTCCCCATGGCCTCTTGGGAGGGCTGTGTGTGTGTGTGTGTGGGGGGGGACGGAGACGTGGTCACTTATTATAATAAAGCTGTAATGGAACACCCCCATTATCCTCACACAGCACTTTCAGATTGTTCACACACACACATACACACTTTGTAGATTTTACTACTTTGACCTACCAGGCAGTCTGGTGGGTCTCCAGGGGGCGGAGTTTGGCACGTAGCCCTGTCTGGTTGCTGTGACGACCAGCAGGGTTCCAAGGCGGTAGGGAAAGCGCAGGTAGGCGTTGCCGTCGGCAGCGGAGGTCTCTGTGGTTACAGGGGTGTGGTTGGCGAAGAGCTCGATGGTGGCTCCGCCCAGGGGCTGGTGGGTGCTGGCATCACTCAGGTGAACCTTCAGAGTCACCTCTACACAGAGAGACAGAGAGAGAGAGTTACACACACTGCTAAGTAAGCGTCAGTGGTGTAAAGTAGTTAAGTAAAAAATACTTGAAAGTATCTGTACTTTAGTATACTATTTATATTTTTGACAACTTATACTTTTACTTCACTAAATTCCCAAATAAAATAAATGTACATTTTGACTGATACCCAAAAGTACTCGTTACATTTTGAATGCTTAGCAGGACTGGAAAATGGTCCAATTCACACACTTATCAAGAGAACATCCCTTGTCATCTCTATGCCTCTAATCTGGCGGACTAATGCTTCATTTGTAAATTATGTCTGAGTGTTGGAGTGTGCCCCTGGCTTTCTGTAAATATTATTATTATTAATTGTGCCGTCTGGTTTGCTTAATAAGGAATTTTAAATGATTTATACTTGTACTACTTAAATATATTTTAGCAATTACATTTACTTTTGATACTTAAGTATATTTAAAACCAAATAATTTTAGACTTTTACTCAAGTAGTATTTTACTGGTTGACTTTCACTTTTACTTGAGTCATTTTCTATGAAGGTATCTTTATTTTTACTCAAGTATGACAATTGGGTACTTTTTCCACCACTGGTAAGCGTGCACCACACAGACTCAGACTTGTCACTAATTGTCTGTAATTAGTTGGCCTTCAATCTCTAATGAGTCCCATTTGATCTGAAAATGAACAAACTTTGCCTAATGAAGCGTATCCATGTCCAGCCCAACAGAAGATGAATCCTAGAACATAGCCTAGGCATATATACAGTAGTCAGGATAAGCTTTCTGACTCAGTTACATTTGACATCGGCAGTTAACAGCCAATCACAGTGAGTGGCCAAAACCCAATTTCCTGGTTACCAGCCAATAGTGAGGCTCTGTCAAAACAATGGGCCCTTTCGCTGTTTCTTGATGGCTGAGGAAGGAAGTCTCTGAGCACACATCTCCTTTATTACTGTCACACACCTTCCTGGAAACTGCTGAATAACATACTTCCATTAAACCATTAACTCGGTTGGATAGCAGAGCATTGTAAAGCTTGCCACAGATACACACACACACACACACACACAGTGCCAGAGCTAAACTGGGACAGAGCAACAACCCACTCTATCAAGTGGAACACACAGACTGGCCAAGCTTGTCTAGTCTAGACCTTTGTTAGGGTCCTATCAAATCTGTTGAATTTTCTGCCTGATTCCGTTTAGTTTTTCCAGATTTCCGTTTTCCCCTGTTTTTTCAGGTTCACTCTCAAAATTGCACTTGATTACAACAACTAAATTGGATGTTCTACGTCCACAACCATGCTAAAACCACATCAGGACACCACTTTTGAGGTCCGGGAAAAATTTGAGAAATGTAGATTTTTGGGTGTAGATAACCTTTAATTCCAGTGAGCACTTAATATTTTCTGGTAGAGTTTGCAAAACAAATACCCACTGGATTGATGCAAATAATCATGATATAATTCTGCCAGGTAAGCATAGGCTACTTTGTAGTTAACATTTACTTGAGAATGTTTTTGGAAAACCTTTCCATCTACCAGAAGACTGTTTTCATTAGCATCATCGCTAACGGCTACACAGAGGTAGCTGCACGCACCACACACACAGACGGGGAATTCTCGTTGCCTCTTCAGAAAGTTGCAGGAAATCCGAATCACTGATGCCTTCTGTTCATGTCTTATGATAAACTTGGCCAAATTAATAATGTTTCAATACATTTAGTTGACTCCCTACGAAGTTCAATACATTTAGTTGATTCCCTACAAAGTTCAATACACTTTGTTGATTCCCTACTGTTCAATACATTTAGTTGATTCCCTACTGTTCAATACATTTCTTTATATTGTTGAATTCTGTTTTATTGTCTGGATTCCGTGATTCCATCCGTATCGCAGATTTTATACGGCGCTACTTTATAAAACAAGGATGGAGGATAGAGAGAGTATACTGATAAACAGAAAATAAGAGCCAAATGGGAGACAAGTTTCACAAGAGAACTCCAAGTATTTAGAACACTGAGCGTGAGTTGTGTGAGGCTAACATTGGCAAGGTAACACTTACCTTTACCCAGGCCAGAACCCTAACCTTTACCATTGTGGAGAACGGCACTTTGCAGGAGTCATACGGTGTGAGTGAGTGAGACAGAGAGAGAGACAGAGCGAGAACAACCAGGTAAAAAAAGAGAGCTTGTGTTTCAAGCCTAGACCTTTAAAAACAGTCCGATTATGCACACACACACACACACACACACACACAAGCCCATTTCAGCTTGTTTCATAAAGGAGCTTGGCTAACACCTTAACGGTGACTTGGTACCAACACTGTAAACAAATGTCTGGTCTGGCAGGTTATGTAAACAACAGTAATGTGTGCTAATATCTAACAAGGCTACTTTAGCCATACTTCATCACTGAAATAAGTAGGAGCGCCGTCTAGTACAGTCACCTACAGCAAGGGGAACAATTAATTTCAGCAACACAAAACACACATCTTCCTCATCTCTCTGCTATTACACCATCTACTTACTCCTCTGTCGTATACATGCCCACATACGCACACCCTCTCACGCACACACCCCCTCTCTCACACACACCCCCTCTCTAATCTACATGTTTCCATATGGCAGACGCTTGTCTCTGTGATAATGGAAGTGGTGTTTGATCATTGTCCCTTAATTAAGGCGTTTGATCATTGTCCCCCCTCCCGAACATACACATACCCTTCCTTTACCCTTACATACACACCCACACTTACCCCGTCCCCCAACCCCAGGACATGCTCTCCCATCTCCCCAGGCTAGATTATTATTAATGTAACAGATACACTGACACACAGAGGATCAGACAAATACAGACTATAGGGTGGAGTCCTATAGGAGCCATGCTCAGTTGGTAGAGCATGGCACTTGCAACGCCAGGGTTGTGGGTTCGATTCCCATGGGGGACCAGTATGGAAAAAATAAATGTATGCACTCACTAACTTTAAGTCGCTCTGGATAAGAGCGTCTACTAAATGACTGAAATGTAAAAAATGAAATGAGCCGGACTACTACAGATTCTCTATCTATATATCACTTTTCTCAAACTAGTTGCAACAACCATTTTAATTTTCACTGTAGTGGGTCTTTTAAGGGTAGTGAAAATATCCACTGTTACCATGGCGTTCCCCCCAACACAGAGGTCAGTGAGAGGGAGGCATTCTAATGGTACATCACTTCCTGTCCCAGTGTTCCGTCCTTCCTTAGGGGTACCAGCTGTGCTCACTCTGAAGAGCTCCCCTGGGAGACTGTGGTGCGCGCACACACTTACACACACACCTCCCCATTCTGATCCAATAAATCGCTGGTGACATCATCCTTAAACAGGCTAAAGCCCTCTGAGAGGTGCATCTCAAAACACACACACAAATGTGTGTAAGAAGAGAAATGTGTTTTAGCAGCCCTGTTAAACCAGTCGTTCTCTCAGTAACTGGCTCCCGGTCTCTCTCTGTGTATGTGTGTGTATGTGTGTGTGTGTGTGCCATATGGAGGATAAAGGCATCAAAGGGAGTTTTTCCTGACCCGATGCTGAGATCTACCACCAATTAGCCCAAGCAACAGCAGCCAGAGCAGCAGGGCGTGTGTGAGACAGACAGTATGGGTGTGCGAGGAAGAGCCAGTGTGTTCATTATGTTTGTGTGAGTGTGTGGAGGTTATTGATTATCAGACCCTGCTGTGAGGTAGAGGGAGTTGGGCATCATCACTGAGCCATAATAATGGCAGGACAGTAGCCTCCTCTGTCTGTGGCTACTAGCTGCTCTGACGGAGGGCTGCTGTGCTAAAGGTCGACTGGTTGTGCTTATGGTATCCATGGTTACTGGTTATTAATTGTCACTGGTTATTAATTGTCAGATCAGGTCCTAGATACCGTTAACTCCTGGTGTGTGTACCTGTTCAACCCCTGCTGTTGATTTTATAAACAGGTTTTTTTTCCCGGCTCAACGCAAACACACAACACAGGTACTAGGATAGGGATAACCCACCACAATATCTTTAACATAACCTATCAAATTCTATCTTTAAAATATCCTGATGAATATTCCAGTATAGTAAATTAGTAGGCAGAGATTAAAGTATAGAGAAAGTAATTCCATCAACTCTGCACGAGAGGCTTTCTTTGGCACCATCACAACCTTTCAAACTCCTCCTTGGTACACTAGGAAACTACAGTGTTCTGTGGTCGACGAAAGTAAATACTTTGAGTCATCTCATTAATACTTGGGGGATTCCCCATCTCTCTCCGTTTCTGCTCTTATTAGGCCTCTTTAACATACACTCTCTCCATTTCCTTCATCTATTTCCTGGTTTTGTGTGCATAAAGACGTGGGGACAGAGCATGATAGACTACATTGTTTTCGAAGAGGTATTGATTGAGAATGAGGGGTGCTGTAGCTCAGCTGGTGTTGCTGTTCTGTCTCTCTGGGGCATGGGGCCAAGATCCCGACCCAATCTGTGCTAGGGTGGATAAACTCACAGACATAGTGGACCAATCTGTGCTAGGGTGGATAAACTCACAGACATAGTGGACCAATCTGTGCTAGGGTGGATAAACTCACAGACATAGTGGACCAATCTGGGCTAGGGTGGATAAACTCACAGACATAGTGGACCAATCTGTGCTAGGGTGGATAAACTCACAGACATAGTGGACCAATCTGTGCTAGGGTGGATAAACTCACAGACATAGTGGACCAATCTGTGCTAGGGTGGATAAACTCACAGACATAGTGGACCAATCTGTGCTAGGGTGGATAAACTCACAGACATAGTGGACCAATCTGTGCTAGGGTGGATAAACTCACAGACATAGTGGACCAATCTGGGCTAGGGTGGATAAACTCACAGACATAGTGGACCAATCTGTGCTAGGGTGGATAAACTCACAGACATAGTGGACCAATCTGGTGCTAGGGTGGATAAACTCACAGACATAGTGGACCAATCTGGGCTAGGGTGGATAAAACTCACAGACATAGTGGACCAATCTGTGCTAGGGTGGATAAACTCACAGACATAGTGGACCAATCTGTGCTAGGGTGGATAAACTCACAGACATAGTGGACCAATCTGTGCTAGGGTGGATAAACTCACAGACATAGTGGACCAATCTGTGCTAGGGTGGATAAACTCACAGACATAGTGGACCAATCTGTGCTAGGGTGGATAAACTCACAGACATAGTGGACCAATCTGTGCTAGGGTGGATAAACTCACAGACATAGTGGACCAATCTGTGCTAGGGTGGATAAACTCACAGACATAGTGGACCAATCTGTGCTAGGGTGGATAAACTCACAGACATAGTGGACCAATCTGTGCTAGGGTGGATAAACTCACAGACATAGTGGACCAATCTGTGCTAGGGTGGATAAACTCACAGACATAGTGGACCAATCTGTGCTAGGGTGGATAAACTCACAGACATAGTGGACCAATCTGTGCTAGGGTGGATAAACTCACAGACATAGTGGACCAATCTGGGCTAGGGTGGATAAACTCACAGACATAGTGGACCAATCTGGGCTAGGGTGGATAAACTCACAGACATAGTGGACCAATCTGGGCTAGGGTGGATAAACTCACAGACATAGTGGACCAATCTGGGCTAGGGTGGATAAACTCACAGACATAGTGGACCAATCTGGGCTAGGGTGGATAAACTCACAGACATAGTGGACCAATCTGTGCTAGGGTGGATAAACTCACAGACATAGTGGACCAATCTGGGCTAGGGTGGATAAACTCACAGACATAGTGGACGAACTGCAGAAAACATACTCAGGTACTGTGTGTATTTATATGAAACCTTCACTTTCAGTGACACAAACAATGCAAACTGACTTGAAGGTATATTTGAAGTGTTTCATTCCAAATCACTATATATCAATTTTTTGTTTGTTTAAAGAACTTCTGAAAGAGATTGGTGTGTTTCCCCCCCCCCATCTAATCATGGCTTGGGGTTGTTAAATGACAGACATGTTTGTTTGAAACTTATCACTAGATGGTTTCATGTCAGAGAAACAAACCATCACATTTTGTTTCAAAACTAGATATATTCACCTCACTCTCAGTGAAAAAAGTTGCACTGCATGGTTTTACACAGTCTAATGTGACAAATCATTAAAATAATTAAGACCTAGTGCAGTCAAAAACTAAAAGTTGGGATAATATTGTGAAATTGTGAAAATTATGATTGTGCCCTTTTAGTGTAAGAACTGTTAGAAAATAACTGTCAGTCTGTTTTTTTAAATTGGAAACAATCACAGTAAGATAGAGATAAAAACTGCTGCATTGGACCTTTAATTTAAAAATGGTACAACTGATACATTTGTGACGTCAACATAAAATAATATATTAAAAACTGTATCAATACATATGATCTGGGCTCTGGTCAAAAGTAGTGCAATTTATAGGAAATAGGATGCCATTTGGGACAAGGCCTAACTCTAACCAAACACTATAGCATGAGGTTAATTTATGATGTGTTGAATTCATATACGTTAAATATACAGGATACAAACATTCTATTCCATCTAAACAATGGATATATAGCATTTTGCAACAAAACCATCTAAAATCTATTAACTAAAAATCTGAGGACAGTAATATTTTACACACACATAAATAATAATGTATTAAACTTTTATAGTGCTTTTCATTGCAGACAGAATCTCAAAGAGCTTGTTAAGCAAAATTAACAACAAAAAGTAAAGTAATTTAGGCTACAACAGTAGCTAGATGAAGTCGGAGTGCTTCTTCAAACCTCCAGCAGATGGGCAGCGCGCATGAGAGGATTTAGAAGCTCTGCTAGATGGTCAGCAGAGGTGGTGGTCATGTCAGCATGTCCAAGGGCAGGCAGGCAGCTCAGTGTTATCAGGGCGTCTCCAACTTCTCTGCTAGCATTAGCTAGTTTGTTGACAACGCTGATTTTCATCAAGTTACAGGCAGGAATCCAATTCATGATATCAAGACTTGATCTACACTCATTTAGTTCATGAAAAATACACATTTTATAAAAAATAAAGAAATACATAAAAACGATTAAATATGTACAGAATTTACATGAGCTCTCTGCCTCGGCAACTATAGAACTTCACCCATAAGCATTCATTTCTGATGAAAAAACACAAATGTGAAACATTTGTGGATATAGTGTTTTGGAAATAAACTCTTAAATTTCCAAACAATATAGCTACTGTTACTGTGCTAGCTAGGCTATAACATCTATTTTGTGACAGAAAAATACAATTTAAAAAATGTAATTTGAAGGTACACAACAGACACTATTCAGTGTTACACACCAGACACTATTCCGTGTTTTGTCGTTTAGTGCTTAACAAAAGTCACAGAATTCATCTTCAGTCCCTCTAATCCAATAATAAATATGTTATATTTTTCTGTTTAGTAATTAGCAATTCTGTCATTGATTTCGTTCAGACAGAACGAACCAAATATATGTTGATACTATAAATTATAGATCTGGTGGAAAACTGCAGCAATTGCCTCAACGACTAAGTGTTTGTTGCTAGTGCCATGTGCGTGCGTGCGTGCATGTGTGTATAAAGCACTGTTTTAGTAGTCTGTGCACAAGCCCCGAGGATAAGCAGAGTGCTGCAATGCAGTGTGTCGTATGCATAGGCACACACACAGTCCCCTCCCCCAATTGTTTACAGACAGATTATTTCACTATCACAATTCCAGTGGGTCAGAAGTTTACATACACTAAGGTTGACTGTGCCTTAAACAGCTT